CAGCGGCGGCCATTGGAGGGTGAACCAGCGGCAAAAGGAAGACCTTTCTCTCTCTGTCTCTCTCTCTCACTGTCCACTCTGCCTGTCAAAAAAAAAAAAAAAAAAAAACCATGCAAACACAAGGCCTGGAAAATTATTCAGCACTGTGTTCAAGGAGATAGGTACGAAAAAATAGCATTGTAATAACAGTACTAGGAACTATGGTAGCAATGAATTATTAAGTTTAGAATGTTAGTATAATTTTTCATAGTCTGTGAAGAGAGTGAAGACTAAATATTATTAGCTATCAGTATGGTGAAAAAAATCTAAATGCTAAGTAAATAAAAAATAATAGGTTAATTGAGTGGACACGTTTGCCTGTTATTCACAGAAAAACGTTTAAGAAAGTCAGTGCCAGCGCCGTGGCATAGGGGGCAAAGCCGCTGCCTGCAGTGCCAGCATCCCATATGGGCACCAGTTTGGGTCCCGGCTGCTCCATTCCCATCCAGTTCTCTGTTGTGGCCTGGGAAAGCAGTACAAGATGGCCCAAGTGCTTGGGCCCCTGCACCCACGTGGGAGACCTGGAGGAAGCTCCTGGCTCCTGGCTTTGGATCTGAGCAGCTCCGGCCATTGCAGCCAACTGGGGAGTGAACCAGTGGAATGAAGGCCTCTCTCTCTCTGCCTCTCCTTCTCTCTGTAACTCTAATTTTTCTTTTTCTTTTTTTTTTTTTTTTTTGACAGAGTGGACAGTGAGAGAGAGAGACAGAGAGAAAGGTCTTCCTTTGCCGTTGGTTCACCCTCTAATGGCCGCCGCAGCCGGCGCGCTGCGGCCGGCGCACCGCACTGATCCGATGGCAGGAGCCAGGAGCCAGGTGCTTTTCCTGGTCTCCCATGGGGTGCAGGGCCCAAGCACCTGGGCCATCCTCCACTGCACTCCCCGGCCACAGCAGAGAGCTGGCCTGGAAGAGGGGCAAGCGGGACAGAATCCAGCGCCCCAACCGGGACTAGAACCCGGTGTGCCGGCGCCGCTAGGCGGAGGATTAGCCTAGTGAGCCGCGGCGCCGGCTCTAATTTTCAAATAAATAAATAAATCTTTAAAAACCAGTCAGTGTTGACCCCAATCTACTAGAAAGAAAAGTAGGCTAGAAGGTGTGGTCCAGCTTCCCTACCATATTAGCAGGAAGTTGGAGTCAGACGCTAGAGCTGAAGCGGGGCCTTGCACCCAAGCAGTCAAAGATTTCTATTTATTCAATAGCATTTGCAATCAATTATGCATTTTTCTTTAATGCTAAAATTATCCTAAATTTGGACTGTGGGAAATGCTTCAAGCTTACTCCCACCTTAAAGTTTTCTTCCTTTTTTAAAATTTATTTATTCGAAAGGTAGAGTTACAAAGACACAGGAAGAGACAGAGCAATCTTCCATCCACTGGTTCACACCCCCAAATGGCTGCAACAGCCAGGGCTGGGCCAGGCTGACGCCAGGAGCCAGGAGCTTCATTTGGGTCTCACACGTGGGTTCAGGGGCCCAAGAACTTGGGTCATCTTCTGCTGTTTTCCCAGGAGCATTAGCAGGGAGCTGGTTGGAAGTGGAGAAGCCAGGACTTGAACTGGCACCCACAAGGGATGCCGGCATCGCAGGTGGTAGCTTAACCCACTATGCCATGCCAGCGCCAAAAATTCACTTTTGAGAGACTGAATATACAAGTGAACAATGGCCAGACTGCACACTGTGTAAAACAGAATTCTGACCCAAACCTGTAACTGACCCAGGAAACCAGTCGCTTATCAACAATGGCCAGCCCTGAAGCCAACCTGCTGGAAGTCAGACTGCTATCTCCAGCAATAACCCAGGAAACTGAACAGTAACTTACAAAAGGGCCAGGGCTGACAAGCTGATACCTTCCCTAGCTTTCATCCCATCTTCCAACTCTGGATCAACCCGAGTTAAACGGGCATTCCAAGGGCATCACATGGGACGCCCAGCGTCCAGTGAGCCACCTGCAGCCTCCCGTCAGGGCAAACCTGGAACCACCCCCTTTGCTGCACTGGAAACTCCCTTTCCCACTGGCCCACGGGCCTGCCAAACACAAGGGACAGCGCCCGACTCCCTTGCTACAGCAAGCTCTCAATACAGACTGTGTGTTTCATTCAGCTTGTCTGGGCTATTTCCTCCTTACTGAGGTATAATTTACATGCAATAAAAATGCATCCTTTGGGGCCAGTGCCCTGGGCTGTGGCTGGGCCAAGCCGAAGCCAGGAGCGAGCAGCTTTACCCAGATCTCTCCCAGAGGTGTAAGGACCCAAGCACTTGGGCTGTCTTCCGCTGCTTTCCCAGGCGCATTCACAGGGGGCTGGATGGAGGTGGAGCAGCTGGGACTTGGCGCCCATAAGGGATGCCAGTGTCACAGGTGGCGGCTTTACCCACTGCACCACAGTGCTGGCCCCTTGCTGTACTTTCATAAACGCGGATTAAGGGGTAACCACAATAGAATATTTGCTTCACCTTCTAGATTCCCTCATTTTTATAGCTGAGGCCCCTGCTCCTCCTCTCCTGGTCAACTGATGTGATGGCCACCTCCCGGGAAGTTTGTGTCTTGGTCACATGACCTCGCCCTAAAAATACCTGCCTCATCTTGCACTTCCCAGAACTACAACCAGCCAGTTCTCCAAGGAGCTCTGTAGCCTTTCAGTGGGCAATGGGATTCCGAGCTCACTGGGACCAACCTTCCTGGTTTGCTGGGGACTGCCCCAGTTTAACCTGACAGTCAGGGATCCCAGGAGGCCCTCTTGGTCTCTGGGGAGCAGGGACAACTGGTCACCATACTAGGTCTAGGTGCTTTCAGAGCCTGGAACTAGGAATCTTACTGTAAAGTCATGCATTCAGGGGCTGGTGTGTGGCACAGTGCGTTAAGCTGCTGCCTGCCGTGCCAGCATCCCATACTGCTGCATTTCCAATCCAGCTCCCTGTAACGCACCCGGAAAAGCAGCAAAAGATGGTCCAAGTGCTTGGGCCCCTGCCACCCACACGGGAGACCTGGAAGAAGCTTCTGGCTCCTGGTTTCCAGCCTGGCTCAGCCACAGCTGTTGCAGCCACTAGGGGAGTGAACCACTGCACGGAAGACGGATCTGTCTCTCTGAGCCCCCCATTCAAATACATCTTTTTAAAAAAATCACGTTCAAACTGGTATTTCCAATGTAAAATTTTTCCCACCCTCTCTGATCTTGTTTCTCATTTTCCATCACACAGAAAGCCTTCATACATCATAGCATCAAGTTATTTGCGTTATCCTACAGTAGTTTCAAATGCCAGCCATCAACCCTAGTCCTTCGCAGCCCTGTTCCGCGGAGCGGAGGCCGGCTCTCTCCAGGGGCGTCACCAACTACGGCCTTGCGAAGCCCCAGGGAAATTCTTTCCTCTGTAAATCTTCCTCGTTGCCGACTGGATTTAAAGTTCACTTCTTTCAAATCGCTTTCGACCCGGGGCTTTGCTTCCCTTCTTGATTCATCCTGTAGCTCTGTCGGAGAAGTCCTGCTCCTACTATCTGCCACTTCCTCTGTATGCACCTGCTGCGACCTGGACTCCGCACGAAGCCGCAGCTCGCTCCTCCCTGGGCTGCGGCGGCCCTGACGGAGCCCGCACCGGGACACGGCGGGACCCTTGTGCACCCGCTGCCTCGGGACAGGCAGAAGCAGAAATGCACAGGTTACTCGGCGCTCGGGTCGTTTATCCTAACTTCACGAGTGCGCTCACCGGGAGCGCAGCCGAGCCGCCTCTCCCGAGACCCGGCCCCGGCTTTCCTCCCCGACCCGGCGCTCCGAGGCCAGGCCGGACATTCTGCAGGGCGAGCTACCGGGCTCCCCGCACCGCCTCGCCCGGGCCGGCTGCCCTGGGGGCCACGCTGGGGTCCAGCAGGCCCAAGGCAGGTCCCCCCGGGGCGCCCCCGGCCCCGCGTCGCGTCTTCCCAGCGGTCCGCAAGGCAGTCTCGCCCACCCGAGTACACTCCACTGACGGAATTCACGCCACCGGGCTCGCCCCATCGTCCACGGCCCGCCCTCCCCTGGCCCCGGGGCCGCCCTCCGCTCGAGAACAATGGCTGCTCGCTTTCGCCGCCGGAGACGCCACGGCAGAACGACCCGCGCGGACACGAGGCCGCCCGTCACGCGCGAGGCGGCACACGGAGGCGGCCGGCCCCGCCCCGCCGGCGCGCGGAAGCACCGCGTCCAATCGCACGCCGCCCTCGCGCAGATCCCTCCGCCCGGCGGCGCCGTCGCCGCAGGCGGCCCACGCGAGCGCGTCCACCGGGGCCGCCTTCCCGGCATGCCCCGCGGCTGACCTCCGACCCCGGCGACCCGCCCCCTCGCCCGACGTCGCCCCTCCACACACACACACACGGCCGGAGCTGGCGGAGCCCCGGCGGCGGCGCTGGTTCCGGGTTGCAGACTCCGCCGCCAGGTCCCGCTCGGGCTAGGCCGGCGGCCGCGCGCTCCTCGCCTCTTCGCCTGTGGCGGGGCCGGGCGGCCGGCGGCGCCCCCACGGTGAGCGGGCCCGACGCGAACATGGCGGAGCGGGGAGGCGGGGCGGAGCGGGGCCGGGCGGCGGGCGGGGCCTGGCGTCCTCCCTCAGCGCCATTTTGTGGCAGCGAGACCCGCAAATAAAGGGGCGCGCGGGGCTGTGACGGGAGGAGGCGCGCGGCGGCGGGGCCTCGGCCTGTGCGACTGGCGGCGGCCGCGCGGCCCCGGCCCGGAGAGGTAGGTGCGGGCGGGCGGCGGGAGAGCGGCCGCGGGGCCCCTGTGGGAGCTGCGGGGCGACGCGGGCCCGGGCCGCGCCGGCCGCCCGTTACCCGCTTCCTCTTCCGCCGCCCCGAGGCCATGTTGCCTCGGCCCGCGGGGCCCGGAGGTCCGGCTGGGGCGGCCCTGCTGGTCTGGGCCCGGCCCGGCGGGGGAGAAGGCGGCGGCGGCGGCGGCGGCGGGGCCCGGTGCGCGGCGCGGGCTCCGTGCGCTTCCATGTCGGGACGAGGGCGCGCGCCCGTCGCCGGGGGTCCTCCACGCCGCTCGCGGACCCCGCGCGCAGCCCAGGCTCCTGCGGGAGGAAGTGGATCCCCAGGGGACTGGGGGAAGTCCTGGCGCGCCGAGGCTGTGACGGGAAAAATAAAAAAACACGGGCCCCTTCCCGGTGGAAAAGCGATCCCGCGTGGGCACGTTCCGGTCGCCTTTCTCGTGTGGCTATTCTGTTCCCTCGGAAGTCACCGCCAATTACGTTCGTTTTTTTGTGTGAAAATTTCGGCCGTGAAATTTTCGGTGCTAGGTGAACGTGGTGTAGACGTATGAAACTCCGCTTACACGGTGTGGGAAAATCTTCTCGCGACGGCTGGATTTTAACTTCATTCATTCCATAGCATCTGATGAGGCAAGTTGGAGGGAGATTGCAGCCCCGCAGGCGGCTGGCGATAAGGGTGCAGTGCTGTCAGGGCTTCCGGTGTCTTGGGCAGACAGCTAAGCCGGCGGCAGAACTGGTGAACTGTCCAAAGAGCCAGATCCCGCAGGATGGAGGTAACAATGGGAGTGGGATCCGGGCACCGCTGGGTTGTCCACAGCTTCCCAGATTCGTGGGTCTTCATCACAGCGAGTTTTCCCAATTCCGCTCTGAGCCATGTTCAAGATGTTTTCGCATATTTGTCACAAATTATCTGGTAGGTACGATATGGAAGATGGGTAGGAGCCCTTTGATAGGCCAGGAGTTGTAACGGTCGCATTTACGACGATTGTTACAGCTGCTGGGTCTCGTGGGTGTGTGTAGTACAGAGTCTCCTTGGAAATACTGTCTTAGTTTTCGTCTTTACAATGTGCCTACATTGTTTGTGTCTTGTTTGTCAGAGCTATATGTTGAGTGGCTTAACAGTATTTTGGTTCCATTCTTGTTTTTACTTGTTAAATCTTTTCCCACTTTTCTACCTCCAAATATTTTTTATTTGATATAGTTACTAAGCTTATTAAGGACAAACTTTTCAATATTCCCGTAATAGGATACTCCATTGGATAGAATAGGCTGTAAAGGTGTTCAGTGCTATGAAGAAGTGTTCACCTGGAAGATGTTGGTGGAGTTTAATTTTTACGAAATGCATGTTAAAGTTGTCCTTTATGTTCATATTTTAAAATCCTTGTTTCTACAGCACTTCATTACGCTTGCAAAATTGGTACCCTCCTTTTGCTAATTTGGAAACGGTAGCACAGAATTAAGTAACTTGCTGAAGATCACACTTAAGACCAATGCAAGTGTGAGAAATAGGCGGTTCTCGAATTTCTAAGCAGTACTCTTTCTACTCTAGTGTAAAGGTTACTGTGGTATCAGGTGATGGAGTCTTAAATGCAGTTGTGATTTGTTTCTCTAGAGCACATGCCTTCAGAGAAGCACTGAGTTGCCTAATAAAGCATCATGGTGCTACTGGAATGTAGGGTGCTAGGCACCTCCTAAGCCGCTTCTCCTGTGATAAAAGGCATCGAGTAGATGTTGATTCTGATATTTTAACGTTATCTCGGGATGATCTACAAGAATAATTGAAACCTTTACATAATTTAAAAATCAATCATCATCATTTTTTTTTTTTAAGATTTATTTTATTTACTTGAAAGAGTTACAGAGAGAGGTCTTCCATCCACTGGTTAACTCCCCAGATGGCCGCAATGGCCAGAGCTGCACCGATCAGGAGCCAGGAGCTTCTTCCGGGTTTCCCACACAGCTGCAGGGACCCAAGGACTTGGGCCATCCTCTGGTGCTATCCCAGGCCATAGCAGAGAGCTGGATCAGAAGAGGAGCAGCCGGGACTAGAACTGGTGCCCACGCCAGCCCCAAAAATCAATCTTAAACTTTGCTTAAAAATAGCCAATTTAGCTGCTTTTGAATTTTTTCTCTTTTGCTTTATTAAAAAAAAAAAAAAAACACACAGATTTTTCCGTCCTCTGGTTCACTCCTCCAAATGCCCACAACAGCCATGGTTGAAGATTTATTTATTTGAAAGACAGTGTTAGAGAGGTAGAGACAGAGAGGTCTTCCATCCTCTGCTTCACTCCCCATATGGCTGCAACGGCCGGAGCTGTGCCAATCCGAAGCCAGGAGCTTCCTCCCAGTCTCCCACGCAGGTGCAGGGGCCCAAAGACTTGGGCCTTCCTCCACTGCCATCTCAGGCCACAGCAGAGAGCTGGATCAGAAGAGCAGCCGGGACTAGAACCAGCGCCCATATGGGTTGTCAACGCTTCAGGCCAGGGCTTTAACCCACTGCACCACAGTGCCGGCCCCAGTTACCAACTTTTGAGAGACACTGGATTTAGGACCCAAACCTCTAGTTCATTAATAGCTGTTTTACGCTGAGCTGATCACCTAATGAGTCACATTTTCATCTTGGAAAATGGAGACTAGTTTTGACTTTGAAAAGTTGTGATTATTGAATAAATGTGACTCATAGACAGTGAACGTGTATGTGTGGTGTCTGTGTGTATATGCTTTCATTTTTCACCTTCAAGGTTCAGGACTCTGATGATTCCAGATGATGTTATGGGGTGACGTGGCACAGCAGGCTAAGTGATGCTGGCATCCCATTTCCAATTGCTGGTCTAAGTCTCCACTACTCTACTTCCAATCCAGCTTCTTGCTAATGTGCTTGGCAAGGCAGGGGAAGATGGCCCAAGTGCTTGGGCCTCTGCCACCCCTGTGGAAGACCCAAATGGCGTTCCTGGCTCCTGGCATTGACATGGCTCAGCCCCAGCCTTGGCAACCATCTGAGACATGAACCGTTGGATGGAAGATCTCTTTTTCTCTATGTCACACTGCTTTTCAAATGAACAAATCTTTTTTTAAAATGGTGTTTTAGTACTTCTAGTTTTCCTGTGGAAGATTATTCTAAGAATCTTTTTGTGAACCTAGAATCAACTGTAGATGGTGACTGAGCTTGTCAGGTTGTAAAAAATTACCTTGGGGATTAATAGATTTCTTGGTGTGTTTATGCAATGTGAAGGTAAAAATTGAGAATTGAGTTCTGTTCTGAGTAGTTGAATGTTGTATGTTAATTTGTTTTCAACCTGCTAAGCCGTGGTTAAGCCTCTGACTGCAGCACCAGCATCCCAAATGGGCTCCAGTTGTCCCCGCTGCTCCTCTTCAGATTCAGTTCTCTGCTTATAGCCTGGGAAAGCAGTGGAAGATGGCGCAAGTTTTTAGGACTGGCGCTGTGGTGCAGTAGGTTAATCCTCTGCTTGCAGTACCAGCATCCCATAAGGGCTACTCCTCTTCCGATCCAGCTCTTTGTTATGGTCTGGGGGAGCAGTGGCGGATGGTCCAGGCGCTTGGGCCCCTGCACCCTCTTGGGAGACCTGGAAGAAGCTCCTGGCTTCAGATTGGCCCAGCTCTGGCCAGCCGTTGTGGCCATTTAGGGAGTGAACCAGCAGATGGAAGACCTTTCTCTCTGTCTGTCCCTCTCACTATCTGTAACTCTACCTCTCAAAAAAAAAAAATCTTACAAGAGTTTTGAACCAGTTCTACTTTGCCTTTGACTGTGAATTTATGTGGCATATCATGAGTGCTTAAGGAAAGATGGACTTTGCATCAGTTACAGATTTTCTGAGGCGCTCGTTTCCTAAGCTGAATACCCCATACATGGAATGAACTGCAGCTCTTTCAAGAGCTGACCTGTGAAAATGCATGCGAATAAAACCTGTATTTACCCCTGACTTAGATTACAACTTCAGAAATTTATTTTGGGGGGGTTGTGTTTAGCCTAATGACTGAGTCACCCACAATGCATCTTAGAGTGCCTGGGTCTGTTCCCAGCCCTGGTTCTTACTTCCATCCAGTGTCCTGTCATTGCAGACCCTGGAGGCAGCAGGGATGGCTCAGGTAGTTGGGTTCCTGCTGCCTACGTGGGAGAGACCTGGATTGAGTTCCCAGCTCCCAGCTCCAGCCTGTCCTGGCCACTGAGGGCATTGGGGATGGAAGCTTTTGTCTCTCAAATTAAGGAAGAAAGAAAAGTTAATGTCCTCCAAACTCCATTTTAATTCATACTACCCAACATCAAACTTTTGAAAAGGAAAATATAAATCAGTGTTAGAAAACTTAATTATCTTTCAGAATTCTAAAAATTGGAGCACACCAAGGATTCTGTGGTTAGAAACTAAGACAGGAGGACATCATGGTAGTTGTCCTCAGTCTGTGAATTCTCTTAGGGTTATTAAAGAAACTCATTTCTGCGGCCAGTATTGTGTTGCAGGTTAAGCTGCTGCCTACAATGCTGGCATCTCATATGTGTGCCAGTTGAAGCCCTTGCTGCTCCACTTCCTATCCAACTCCCTGCTAATGCACCTGGGAAAGCAGTGGAAGATGACTCAAATACTTGGCCCTCTGCCAGCCACATAGAAGACCTGCCTGGAGTTTCAGACTCTTGGCTTCAGCTTGGCCCACTGGCCATTTGGGTAGTGAACCAGCAGTTGGAAGATCTCTCCATCTCTCTCCAACTATGCATTTCAAATAAATAAACTAATTTTTTTCTTTAGGTTAAGAATTTGTTTATTTGAAAGGTAGAGTTACAGAAGCCAGGGCCGAAGCACTTGGGCCACCTGCTGTTGCTTTCCCAGGCCATACCAGAGGGCTGGGTCGGAAGAGGAGCAACAAACCGGTGCCCGTGTGGGATGCTGGAGCCACAGGTGGAGGCTTTAGCCTACTGGGCCACAGCGCTAGACCCAACTAAATCCTTTCTTAAACTCTTGATTTATTTCTTCTCTTTCTTTCCCTTTCCTCCATCCCTCCCTCTCCCCTCTCCCCTCTCCCTCTCTCCCTCTCTCCCTGTTTCTCATGGAGAAAGAAATTAAATGCCCATTTTTTGCCGGTCACCATACTGAAGTGTGTCTTCAAAATAGAGTAATTTTGGACCATAATGGTGATAGTCTTTTTTGAGACGGTGAAACTGAAGTTCAGAGTTTTCTCCTTTTTACTTTTTTTTTTTCAGTGTGATAGCATTCTAATGATCACTTTTTTTTTTTAAGATTTATTTATTTGAAAATCAGAGTTACACAGAGGAGAGGCAGAGAGAGAGAGTGCGTGCACACTTCCATCCACTGGTTGACTACCCAATTGGCCACAACAGCCAGTGCTGTGCTGATCCAAAGCCAGGAGCTGGGAGCGTCTTCTGGGTCTCCCACATGGGTGCAGGGGCCCAAGGACTTGGGCCGTCTTCTATTGCTTTCCCAGGCCATAGCAGAGAGCTGGATCAGAAGTGGAGCAGCCAGGGCTTGAACCAGCACCCATATGAGATGCTGGCACTGCAGGCAGCCGCTTTACCTGCTGTGCCACAGCGCTGGCCCATTGCTTTATTTTCAAAGGGTGAAACCTTCTAGAAAGCTTCCTTCAAGTGTCTCCCAGTCCTCTAAGTGCCCTTTAAAAATAGACTGCTACCGCTGGCATTGTGGTGTAGCCTGTTAACTTGCCTCCTGCCATGCAGCATCCTGTATGGGCACTGGTTTGATACTCCACTCCCTTCCTATCCAGTTCCCAGCTGATGTGTCTGGAAAAGCAGTGGGAGATGGCCCAAGTACTTGGGCCCCTGCACCCACATGGGAGACCTGGATGAAGCTCCTGGCTCTGGCCCAGCCCTGGCTGTATGGCCATTTGAGGAATGAGCTAGTGGATGGGAGATCTGTCTCTCCCTCACTCTCTGTAATAAATAAAAACATTAAAAAAAAAAAAAAAACAGTTATGATCGGCGCCGTGGCTCAATAGGCTAATCCTCCACCTTGCGGCGCCGGCACACCGGGTTCTAGTCCCGGTCGGGGCGCCGGATTCTATCCCGGTTGCCCCTCTTCCAGGCCAGCTCTCTGCTATGGCCAGGGAGTGCAGTGGAGGATGGCCCAGGTGCTTGGGCCCTGCACCCCATGGGAGACCAGGAAAAGCACCTGGCTCCTGGCTCCTGCCATAGGATCAGTGCGGTGCGCCGGCTGCAGCGGTGGCCATTGGAGGGTGAACCAACAGCAAAGGAAGACCTTTCTCTCTCTGTCTCTCTCTCTCACTGTCCACTCTGCCTGTCAAAAAAATTAAAAAAAAAATAAAAAACATTAAAGGAATTAAAAAAAAAAACAGTTATTACTACTTAAGCTTGCAGTTACTTTTATTTTAATGGGATAAGGATCTGAATACCTGCCTGTTGAGAAGAGAGTAAGCAAGTAAACCTAGGAGAAGTGTCAGTTGAATAAAGTTTGAACTGAATATGATCTATATTGAGTCACATTCAAGTTGCTTAGTTTTTTTTTTTTTCCAAAATAAATTTTTAAGGTTTTATTTATTTGAAAGGCAGAATTACAGAGAGAGGGAGTGAGGAGGAGACAGTGTGTGAGGTCTTCCATCCACTGATACACTCTCTAAATGGCTGCAATGGCCGGGGCTGGGCCAGACTGAAGCCAGGAGCCAGGAGCTTGTTCTAGGTCTCCCACGTGGGTGCAGTAGCTCAGTTACTTGGGTCCTTCTTTACTGCTTCCCCAGGCACATTAGCAGGGAGCTAGATCAGAAATGGAGCAGCTGGAACTTGAAGCAACACCCATAGAGGATGCTGGAGCTGCAGGTGGCGCCTTCGCTACACCACAACACCAGCCCCAAGATTCTACACACTGAGGAGATAGGGTGCCTAGTAACTGGATAAAAGATGGACTGTCTAGCCTTAGTGGTAAATTTGGCTGTTTTCAAATTATCACACTTCTTGTATTAAGATTCATGTTTATTCTCAGTATTTTATGTAATTGTTATCTCAGCTGGTTCTAGAAAAAAAAAACTTGATTAAGTAGCCTCACCTTTATGACTGTACTGGTACCTGAAGCAAATTTGTTCATACTTTTAACACGTTTGTATGTCTACTATGTGTTAGTCATTGGCAGTCAGTGAAGCAATAGCTGGGACTGAGGTGAGCTGAACCCAGAATCCCAGAATGCAATCCAGGCCTCCCAGGTGGGTTGCAGAGACCCAATTACTGGAACCATTACCTGCTGCCTCCCGGGGTACACAGTAGCAGTGCGCCGAAATTGGGAGCAGAGCCCTGACTGCAACCCAGATACTCTGACATGGGATGTGGATGTTCCAACAGCATCTTAACTGCTGTGCCCCCCAAATCAGAATTCTATGACAGTACAAGTGTGGTTAGACTATCTGATTATAAGGTGAGAGTTGAAATTGTTAAAAATGTTGTTGGAAGGGGTAGAAGTTGACCTTGCCACCCGTGAGGGAGACTTGGATTGAGTTCTCTGCCAGTGTAGGCTTTTGGAGTATAAACCAGAAGATGGGGCGTGCTCTCAAATAAATAAAAAAAAATTTTTTTTGACAGGCAGAGTTAGACAGTGAGAGAGAGAGAGAGAGACAGAGAGAAAGGTCTTCCTTTTGCCGTTGGTTCACCCTCCAGATGGCCGCTACGGCAGGCGCACTGTGCTGATCCGAAATCAGGAGCCAGGTGCTTCCTCCTGGGCTCCCATGTGGGTGCAGGGCCCAAGCACTTGGGCCATCCTCCACTGCCTTCCCGGGCCACAGCAGAGAGCTGGACTGGAAGAGGGGCAACCGGGACAGAATCCAGCGCCCTGACTGGGACTAGAACCTGGTGTGCCAGCGCCGCAGGCGGAGGATTATAATGCCTTGTGAGCCGCGGTGCCGACCAAATAAATAAATATTTTTAAAAATAGTAACGGTAAATCACTTTCTTTTGAGGAATCTCAAATAGTAAGAATACCGTGTTTAATATGAAAATTATTTGGTCAGATTTCTACTAGTTTCGAATTTATATAAGTACAAGTAAGTAAAGTAAACCAGAAATATTTTAAAATGGTAACAGAGCATTCTTGAATATGCTGTCAGAAGTAATACCTAGGAACACCTAATTTGGCTTTTCTACTGGTCAGATTTGAACCTAAGGAAGTAATAGATGTGTTTTCAGCACAAGAATTCAGTTTCTTAATTTGTATTATTTTTCCAAACACAACTTAGATGCTTTTAAAAACCAGAACTGCTGGGGCTGCCAGCATCCCATATGGTGCTAGTGTGGGTCCTGGCTGCTCCACTTCCGAACTAGCTCTCTGCTGTGACCTAGGAAAGCAGTAGAAGATGTCCCAAGTCCTTGGGCCCCTGCACCCACGTGGGAGACCCAGAAGAAGCTTCGGATTGGCCCAGCTCCAACCGTTGTGTAAATCTTAAACAAAATAAAAAACCCCGATACTGCTATTCAGAACTGATTGAACTGTTTCAGTGCTCACAGAATTTTTATACAGAAACTGCTGTTGGCATTCATTCTGAGTTAGCATGATTAGTTCTCGACTTGAATTTTTTTTACGATTTATTGAAAGAGTTACACAGAGGAGAGGCAGAGGGGGAGAGAAAGAGAGAGAGAGAAAGAGAGGTCTTCCATCTGATGGTTCACTCCCCAGTTGGCCTCAATGGCTGTAGCTGCACCCATCAGGAGTCAGAAGCTTCTTCTGGCTCTCCCATGCAGGTGCAGGGGCCCAAGGCCTGGGCCATCTCTTACTGCTTTCCCAGGCCATAGCAGAGAGCTGGATCAGAAGTAGAGCAGCCAGGTCTCGAACCTGCGCCCAAATGGGATGCTGGCACTTCAGGCCAGGGCGTTAACCTGCTGCACCATAGCACCGGCCCCTCTATTTGAATTATTAAGCTAGCTTTTGCAACAGTGCTAAGTGAATTTTATATAAAGAAGCTAATTTTGAAAGACTTTTATAGATTATTTCATGGCATAGAATTAGAAGAATTTTTAAAAATGTTTATTAGAAATGCAGAACACGTAGGAGAGGGATCTTTAATCTGCTTCACTCTGCAAAGTTTCACAAAAGCTAGGCCTGGGCTAAGCTAAAGCCAGAGCTCAGAACTTCCTGGATATCCTGGTGGCTGTTAGGAACCCAATTACTGGGCCTCATCCACTGTCTCCCAGGATCTATTAGCAGAAAACTGGATTGGAAGTGGAGGAGCCAGGACTCAAACTAGGCACTACAATGTGGAATGTGGGTGTGTCAACGCCACAATGCTGCCTGCCCCATAGGAATATTTTTATTATGGTATAATTGTATGTGTGTGCTTATTTTTTTTATATTTTATTTTATTTAATGAACATAAATTTCCAAAGTACAGCTTATGGATTACAATAGCTTCCCCCTCATAACTTCCCTCCCACCCACAACACTCCCCTCTCCCACTCCCTCTCCCGTTCCATTCACATCAAGATTAATTTTCAGTTATCTTTATATACAGAAGATCAGTTTAGCATATGTTAAGTAAAGATTTCAACAGTTTGCACCCATGTGTGTGTGTTTATATATAACACTATTGAAGAGTAGTGAATCTCCATGACCATGTTAGATTTTACCTTTTTAGTATAACATAATGCTATCAAACCAAAGGTTTAGAAACTGGTACTAACCTAGCAGCGTGCCTAGGTTACTGCTTGAGTTCAGTATCTGACTTCAGTGCTGAGTGACCACTTCTGTAGCAAAATTTGTCTTTCATAGGATAGTGGCAAGATTGAAATGAAAAATTATCTCTCGGCCCTTTGTGGCAACTTCAGATGATTCAGCTTTTACAAAGGGATTTTAAAAATGTACTTAACAGGCCGGCGCCGCGGCTCACTAGGCTAATCCTCCGCCTAGCGGCGCCGGCACACCGGGTTCTAGTCCCGGTCAGGGCGCCGATTCTGTCCCGGTTGCCCCTCTTCCAGGCCAGCCCTCTGCTGTGGCCAGGGAGTGCAGTGGAGGATGGCCCAGGTGCTTGGGCCCTGCACCCCATGGGAGACCAGGAAAAGCACCTGGCTCCTGGCTCCTGCCATCGGATCAGCGCGGTGCGCCGGCTGCAGCGCGCCGGCCGCGGCGGCCATTGGAGGGTGAACCAACGGCAAAAGGAAGACCTTTCTCTCTGTCTGTCTCTCTCTCACTGTCCACTCTGCCTGTCAAAAAAAAAAAAATTGTACTTAACAAAAAGGAAGCTGACTGTAGAGTGTACAGGAACTCTATAATATCTTGCTGCTTTTCTTGCAGGTTAAAACTATTCTGAAACAGATCTTTGTAAAAAAAAAAAAAATGAAAATAGGAGAGGGAGGAGGTAGAAGGGTGGGGGTGCCAGCTAGAGGCAGGGTAGGATGGGAAAAATCACTATGTTCCTAAATTTGTATATGTGAGATGCATGAAGTTTGTATACCTTAAATAAAATGTTTAAAATTTCATTATTCTGAAATAAAAAGTTTAAGTAAAAATAATCTTATGATTAGACAATAAAAGACCCAGTAATTTTTGTTCCTACCTTAACTGGAAGAAAATCAATTGAGCCTCTGCCTCACTCCTTTTTTGTTTGTTTTTTCTGTTTTTAGGATTCAAGATGACCAACGAAGAACCTCTTCCCAAAAAGGTAATTTTTTTTCCTTGCAACTTTAAAGCATTTTTTTTCATAATAGTGCTGAAGGGGCTGTCTGTATTGTTTTGCTGCCTCTTCACCCTCTTGCCTTTATTAACAGTAATAGCACTTGGGCTGTGCAGTGTGCCAGATGTTGTATCTTATATGTACTATATTTTTAGATTCTTTCAGCTTTTCATCTGTTAAGTGATATTCCCATGGTCTGTTCTTAGTCTTTGTTACATAAATACTCCTGCCTACAGATACACACATGTCAAAAAAGGAGAAACTTCATACATTCCTATAAAACCATTTATGTATTTTTCAAGAAAAGGTTACAGCTAATTCTTAGGTATCTCTTTCTCTGAACTTTCTTCTAAAGTTCCCCATTATATGAGTTTACTCTATGCTATGAGTTTACTCATAGCATATGAGTAACATATCTACTATATATTCATACAATGACTATTAAAAAACAGTAACAGTTTCTGGTAGTAGTTGTAATTGGATTTAGAAAAGCAGGTGTGTGCTTACTGAACAGTATTTAAGTGAACAGTTTACATAATATGTTTTACAGAAATTTTTGACATTTTAGAGCATTAATAAAGAATTGGATTGTGCTTAAATAATCTGAAATTACGGCCGACGCCGTGGCTCAATAGGCTAATCCTCCACCTTGCGGCGCCGGCACACCGGGTTCTAGTCCTGGTCGGGGCGCCGGATTCTGTCCCGGTTGCCCCTCTTCCAGGCCAGCTCTCTGCTATGGCCAGGGAGTGCAGTGGAGGATGGCCCAGGTGCTTGGGCCCTGCACCCCATGGGAGACCAGGAAAAGCACCTGGATCCTGGCTCCTGCCATCGGATCAGCGCGGTGCGCCGGCTGCAGCGGCGGCCATTGGAGGGTGAACCAACAGCAAAGGAAGACCTTTCTCTCTCTGTCTCTCTCTCTCACTGTCCACTCTGCCTGTCCAACTCTGCCTGTCAAAAAAAAAAAAAAAAAGTGAAAAAAAAATAATCTGAAATTACTGTGTACCTCCTCTTTCACTATTTGGGTATAATGCCCCCTCACTCTTACATTTTATAATGCCATTTTACTGGTTAATGTTAACAGCTTAAAACTTTTTTCCCAAAGATTTATTTGTTTGAAAGGCAGAGCATCAGATTGAGAGAGAAACAAATATCTTCTCATCTGCCAGTTCACTCCCTAGTTGGCCATAGTGGCCAGGACTAGGGGTTCAGGCCAAAGCCAGGATCCAGGAATTGCATCCTGGTTTCCCACATTTGTGGCAGGGGCCCGTATACCTGGGCCGTCTTCCCTGCCACTAGCAGGGAGCTTGATGGATAGCAGAGCAGCTTGGACTGGAACTGGATCTCTGATACGGAATGCCAGCATTGCAGAGCACAGCCCTTTGAAAGAAATTTTTAGAAGATTTATTTATTTGAAAGGCAGTTACAGAGGGAGGGCGAGACAGAAGTCTTCTGTCTACTGGTTTACTCCCCAAATAACTGCAACTGCAGGGGCTGGGCCAGGCTGGAGCCAAGAGCCCAGAACTCTGTCTAGGTCTCCCACGTGGGTGCATGGACTAAACACTTGGGTCATCTGCTGCTGCCTTCCTAAGCATGTTAGCAGGCAGCTGAATCAGAAGTGGAGCAGCCAGGACTTGAACCTGTACCCATATGAGATACCAGTGTTGCAGGTGGTGGCTTTACCCTCTGCCATACCACCAGTCCCCAAAATGTATTTTTAAGGAAATTTTTTTAAGTGTCTTAGAAGGGAAGCTAATCAGATTTTATTTTTTTTTTAAAGATACATTTATTTGAAAATCAGTGGTAGAAAGGGAGAAAGAGATACCTTCCATCTGCTGATTCATTTCCAAATCCCCACAACAGCCAGGGCTGAATCAAAACTAGAGTCAAGAACTCCATCCAGGCCTCCCACATGGGTAGCAGGAGCTCAGGTGCTCGGGCTGTCCTCTGCTGCCTTCCAGGCACATTAGCAGGGAGTTGCATGGGAAGCAGAGCAGCTGGAATTTGAACTCACATCAGGTATGAGATACCAGCATCACAGCAGTGGCTTAACCCACTGCCGCGACGTCAGCCCTGTGCCTCCTTCGTTTTAACTTCTTTTCAAATAATCAGAGTCACAGGGAGTTTGGAGTTGCAGAGACATGTACAGGGAGACTCTCTGCTCCCTTCAGCCTCCTCCAGTGTTAACGTATTGGGTGACTCCAAACATTTTGAACAACAAAATGAAAACAAGGAAATTGACAATGTCACAGTCCTCAGAGATTCTGATTTTACAGTTAGCAAGTACTCTGTGTGTAGCTTGTGCAGTTTTATCACATACGTAGCTTTGTGTAACCATCACCAATGAAGATACATATCTGAACTACCTCCCCAAGACTCCCAGTGTTATTCCTTTGTAACCGTATCCACCTTTTCTCTCTCTAACTCTTGGCAATACCTAATCTGTTCTCCATTTTTATAATTGTTATTTTGCCAGTGTTATATAAAGGAAATCTTGTAGTATGTATCTTTTTAGAATTTTTTTCCACTCAGCTACTTTCCTTTAGGTTTATCTAGGTAGTTTCATGTATCTCTTGATCTGTTACTCTTTACCGTTAAGTAGTATTCCATGCTATGAGTGTATCATAGTTTAAACATCGCTTTCGGTTGGCGCCGCAGCTCACTAGGCTAGTCTTCCGCCTGTGGCGCCGGCACTCCAGGTTCTGTCCCAGTTGTCCCTCTTCCAGGCCAGCTCTCTTGCTGTGACCTGGGAAGGCAGTGGAGGATGGCCCAAGTGCTTGGGTCCTGCACCCGCATGGGAGACCAGGAGGAAGCACCTGGCTCCTGGCTTCAGATCGGCTCAGTGCGCCAGCCGTAGCGGCCATTTGGGGGGTGAACCAACGGAAGGAAGACCTTTCTCCCTCCCTCCCTCCCTCCCTCCCTCTCTCTCTCTCTCTCTCTTTCTCTCTCACTAACTCTGCCTGTCAAAAAAATAAATCACTTCTGAGAGGGCATTATTGTAGTTTCAGTTTGGGGACATTAAAAATGCAACTGCTGTGAATATTTTTATTTCTTTAAAATACATGCTTAATATATAAAGATAATTAAAAATGAATTTTAATCAAGAATGGGATGGCAGAAGGAGTAGGAGGTAGGATGGGAGTGGGGGTGGGAGGATGGTATGGGGGGAAGAATCACTAATTCAGAAGCTGTACCTGTGAAATTCACATTTATTAAATTAAAAAATAAGTGAAAATACATGCTTAAGAGGGCAACTACTGGGTCATCCATTCACTTTGAAACAGTTTTTTAGAGTGGCAGTACCATTTTACAGTCTTCCCAGCAGTGTGTGAGTTTGTCATCAACATTTGGTGCTATTATTTTTATTTTGGCCATTCTAATCAGTGTGTAGTAATGTCCCATGGAAAATTAATTTGCATTTCCCAAGTGAAGATGCTCATTGTTACAAATAGTTCACCTTCCCAGTAAAACAAGATTTCAAATAAATGATAATATGTGCTGAACCATTTGTGTTTCACAGTACAGAGCTGTTCTGTAGGCCCCTTTTGGGTAGAGCTTTGTCTTCAGGAATAGCAGTCAGTTCATCTTTTAATTTTTTTTATAGGTTCGACTAAGTGAAACAGACTTCAAAGTTATGGCACGAGATGAATTAATTCTAAGGTAAATGTTCTTTTATCCAAAATACAAGCTTTCTATAAAATATTATATTTCGACTACATTGAGTATTTATACTTTATGTCAAATATGTTTCATTTTTAATGTTACTATTTGCTCATATCACCTGATACCGGATTGGAACAGATTCCTTAATGGCCTTTTTTCCATTTTTTTTAAAGATTTATTTATTTATTTAAAAGGTGGAGTTACAGAGAGGGGGAGAGAAAGAGGTCTTATATCTGATAGTTCACTCTCCAAATGGCTGCAACGGTCAGAGCTGAACTGATCTGAAGCCAGGAGCTTCTTCTGGACCTCCCAAGTGGGTGCAGGGACCAAAGCACTTGGGCCATCTTCACTGCTTTCCCAGGTGCATTAGCAGAGGGCTGGCTCAGAAGTGGAGCAGCTGGGACTTGAACCCTGGCACACATATGGAATTCCATTGTTACTGGCAGCGGCTTCACCTGCTGTGCACAGGGCCAGCCCCAGTGGCCTGTTCTTCATTATATAAGTATGGAGGAAAATTGAACATTTTAACAAACTACAGCACTAGTTGGGGAAACTTCCTGGACTAACAGTGATCTGAATTTCTTCTCTTGCAGAGACAGAGTATTAAGGATTGATACTTGGGAAGCATTTTACTTAATGTGTACCTTGCTATAGGGAAAGACTCTGATCTCAGAAATCTGTTTTAGATACGTGGGTATTTTTAAAAATTCATGGAAAAATTAAATAAAAGATAATGTGGGGGCTGCCATTTGTCATAGCAGTTAGAACAGGTATGTCCCATATCACAGGACTTACTTGGGTTCGAGTCCTGCGTTTGTTCTGGAGTCCAGTTTCTGCTAATGTGCACTCTGGAGGCAGCAGGTGATGATGGTGTAAGTAGTTGGACCCCTGTCACCACTGTGGAAGACCTGGATTAAGTTCCTGGCTCCCAGCCTCATCCTTATCTATCTGGCCGTTCTAAGGATTTGGAGGGAGAACCAGTGATGGGAGTTCCTATTTCTCCCAGCTTGTCGAAACCAAAACAAAGGTAATGCACATTTTCCATGAACTCTTCGGGAGACAACTCATACACAGGCTATTTTGTTTAATTTTTCCTTGTGTTTAACATTTTAAAAATTGTATTTTTTATTTAAGATTTATTTATTTATTTGAAAGGCATAATTACAGAGAGAGGGAGAGACAGATCTTTTTCTGCTAATTCACTCCCAAATGGATCAACAGCTGGAGTCAGGAGCCTCAACCAGTCTCCCACGTGGGTAGCAGGGGCCCAAGCACTTGAGCTATCTTGTGCTGCTTTTCCAGGCACATCATCAGGGAACTGGATGGGAAGTGGAGCAGGCGGGACTTGAACAGGCTCCCACTTGGGATGCACGTGCTGCAGGCAGCAACTTTACCTGCTCAACCGCAGTGTCACCCCAAAATTTGCACTTCTAAGAAATTTAGTTCTGCTTTCAGAAGAAATACATTGCTAATAACATGAAGTTATTCTTCAAAACGTGAATTTCACCATCTCCATATACTTATGTTCTTTACTTTTTCATCTATAAGTTGAGGAGAATGAGTTAATTTTTTTAAGTGTTACTTATTTTTTTCATTTTATTTGAAAGAGACAGAAATCTTCCATCTGCTGATGAACTTCCCAGATGCCCACAACTACTGAACCTAGGCCAAAGCCAAGAGCTTACACCTTAATGTGGGTCTCACGTGTGAATGGCAGGGACCCAAGGATGTCTTTGAACATTGGCTGCTGCTTCGTGGCTTACACGTTAGAAGGAGCTGGAGCTGGAAGGAAGGCGCTCCAGTGCGGGCAGTGAGTGGTGTCGTAACTGCTGTGTCCAGTGCCTGCCTGGAGTTATTTTTAAAGGTTACATCCAGTTCTGAATTTCCGTGGTTCTCTTGTGAATGTATTACAAGAGTAGACTATCGGGGCCGGCGCTGTGGCGCAGCGGGTTAATGCCCTGGCCTGAAGCGGCGGCATCCCATATGGGTGCCAGTTCTAGTCCTGGCTGCTCCTCTTCCGATCCAGCTCTCTGCTGTGGCCTGGGAAAGCAGTAGAGGATGGCCCAAGTCCTTGGGCCCCTGCACCCATGTGGGAAACCTGGAAGAAGCTCCTGGTTCCTGGCTTTGGATTGGCGCAGCTCCAGCCGTTGCACCCATCTGGGGAGTGAACCAGTGGGTGGAAGATCTCTCTCCCTGCCTCTCCTCTCTCTGTAACTCTGACTTTCAAATAAAATCTTTAAAAAAAAAGTAGACTATCAAGTACAGCATTGTGATATTTTTTAAATACAAAAAAATAAAAAAATGAGACATTCAAGAATCACTGTAGAAATTTTTTTTAAGTTACTGTTAAGGTTACTACATCATATATGGTTTATATTTTTGAGGTTAGGGAATCTTCATTTAAAACTCTTAGGTGAGTGTTTTTTCTCTTTCATGCCCTTGGTGATCTAAAATCAGCTGCTACTTATTTAGCTAGTCTCTGCTTTCTATCCTTTTAATGTGGATATTCTTGCTTTAAGTTTTTATATTTTTTTGCTCCTGTGAAATAGTTCCTATATAGCTGCCACAAAGAGCCTTGTGTATGCTTTCCCAAACATTTAATGAACTAGATGTGTCCCAAGTTTTAGAGGCCATAAAATAAGTATTGCTTTGGCTGAACAATTACAATTGTCTTTTAATAGATAAGTGAGGTTTGTCTTAGGAAGTTTTTTTGTTGTTGTTGTTGTTGTTGTTTTTGAGGATTTATTTATTTGAAAATCAAGAGTTACAGAGTGAAAAGGAGAGGCAGAGAGAGAGGTCTTCCATCCTCTGCCTCACTCCTGGCCAGGAGCTTCTTCCAGGTCTCCCACGTGGGCGTAGGAGCCCAAGGACTTGGGCCATCTTCTGCTTTCCCAGGCCACAACAGAGAGCTGGATTGGAAGTGGAGCAACTGGGTCTTGAACCAGCGCCCATATGGGAAGCTGGCACTGTAGGCGACGGCCCGAGTCGCTATACCACAACACTGGCCTCAGGAAAATTTTTTTTTTTTTTTTTTGAAACTCAGTACATTGATTTTAATCTTATGAAATACCTAATTTTATAGATTATGAAATACAAAGCTGGCTTTGTACAACAGTTTAAGCTACTGTGTGCAGTGCCAGCATACATATTAGAGTATCAGTTGAAGTCCTGGCTACTCCCATTTGTTCCTCTAAATAAATCTTTAAAAATAGGCTGGCGCCGCGGCTCACTAGGCTAATCCTCCGCCTAGCGGCGCCGGCACACCGGGTTCTAGTCCCGGTCGGGGAGCCGGATTCTGTCCCGGTTGCCCCTCTTCCAGGCCAGCCCTCTGCTGTGGCCAGGGAGTGCAGTGGAGGATGGCCCAGGTGCTTGGGCCCTGCACCCCATGGGAGACCAGGAGAAGCACCTGGCTCCTGGCTCCTGCCATCGGATCAGCCCGGTGCCGCGGCGGCCATTGGAGGGTGAACCAACGGCAAAGGAAGACCTTTCTCTCTGTCTGTCTCTCTCTCACTGTCCACTCTGCCTGTCAAAAAAATAAAATAAAATAAAATAAAATAAAATAAAATAAAATAAAATAAAATAAAAAATAAATAAAGGTTATAGGGGGCCAGCGCTGTGTGGCCTAACAGGTTGAACTGCTGCCTACAACATCAGTATTCCATATGGTTGCTGGTTTGAATCCCAGCTGCTCCACTTCAGATCCAGCTCCCTGCTAATGCAGAAGATGGCCCATGTCCTTGGGCCCCTGCACTCCTGTGGGAGACCAGTAAGATGCTACTGGCTCATGGCTGCAGCCTGGCCATTGCAGCCATTTTTGCAGAGAACCAGCAGATGGAAGAACCTTCTCCCACCCCCTACCTATCTCTCTCTAACTGCTCGTCAAATAAGTAAAATGAATCTTTTTTTAAAAATTATAAAACAATTTTCTGAATTTTAAGTGTTAATTATATGTAACTAGATAACATAACTAGCAAATAGAAAATATAACTGTTAAGCAGAATAGCAGGTACTCAGGGCAGGTGTCTCTCCATTAAGAGTTGCTGGGGCCGGCACCACAGCTCACTAGGCTAATCCTCTGCCTTGCGGCGCCGGCACACCGGGTTCTAGTCCCAGTCGGGGCGCCGGATTCTGTCCCGGTTGCCCCTCTTCCAGGCCAGCTCTCTGCTGTGGCCAGGGAGTGCAGTGGAGGATGGCCCAAAGTGCTTGGGCCCTGCACCCCATGGGAGACCAGGATAAGTACCTGGCTCCTGCCATCGGATCAGTGCACCGGCTGCGGTGGCCATTGGAGGGTGAAGCAACGGCAAAAGGAAGACCTTTCTGTCTGTCTGTCTCTCTCTCACTGTCCACTCTGCCTGTCAAAAAAAAAAAAAAAAAGAGTTGCTGGGAAAATATTGTTTATCTGTAGTAATTGCCAAGACTAGCTAGTGGTCTCTCTACTAATAGAGTAGAGGGATATAATAAGGATGAAAATTCTCTAGCACACTGATAGCATATGATATTTATGTGGGCTGCTCCTGCTAATTAGATAATTTTTAAAATATAGTCTTGAAAAATACTAATCTCCCGCCCGCCCAACCCCCCCTTTTCAAAAATTTATTTGAAAGGCAGAGTTATAGGGTAGAGGGCAGACAGGTCTTCATCTGCTGGTTCACTCCCTAAATGGCTGCAGTGGCCAGGGCTGGGACAGTCCAGAGCCAGGAGCCAGGAGCATCTTACAGGTCTCCCATGTGGGTGGCAGGGTCCCAAGCACTTGTGCTGTCCCCTGTTGCTTTCTCAGGCACATTATTAGGGAGCAGCCAGGCTCAAACTGGTGCCCACATGGGATGCCAGTGTTGCAAATTGTTATAAATTAAGAAAGAAAAAGAAATCAATTGGTTTATTGGCTAGATTAGATTTATAATTAAAAACCATCCAGCAGAATTTGTAGTGTTTTTATAACTATGATTTTCTAGCACAGTAGTTTCAATGTAACGAGTAATATGCGGTCTTCTTTTTGTACTAGATGGAAACAGTATGAAGCTTATGTCCAAGCTTTGGAGGGCAAGTACACAGATCTTAACTGTAAGTTTGAATTTTGTTTTCCTAAATTTTAGGTTTATGAATGGTCTCCTTGTAGATTATTACGAACACATGATAATTGGTTGTACTAAGATGAATGTCATTTTATTCGAACGTTTTGTTAGTAAGAACTGTTCAGGCATTGTGCTAGGTACAACAAAATGGAATGAGACATCTCTTTTGGGTAAGACATGATGATATAGTGGCATGACTGTTTTAGTAAAATCATGTGCAAGGTTCTGAGAGAGTATATGTAGGTTAATGCAGCTATTTGAAACTTTTCTTGATGTGTCCCTAACATGTTCTGCATGAGAATTTGAATTAAACATGAATTATTAGTCCAGCAGGGAAAAAAATCCAAGCAACCAGTAATAGATTTTTGAGAGCTTAAATTGTAACCTTAGGGTATAGATACATATTTACAGATTTTCCAGAATCTGCTAAAAACAATACAAGTGTATAATTTATTTTTTAAAAGATTTATTTATTTATTTGAAAGTCAGAGTAAGAGAGGAGGAGAGAGAAGGGTAGCTCTTCCATCCATTGGTTCATTCCCCAGATGGCCACAACAGCCAGAGCTGGGCCAATCCAGGGGCCATGGACTTCGGCCATCTTCTACTGCTTTCTCAGACCATAGTAGAGAGCTGGATCAGAAGTGGAGCAGCCAGGACTCAAAACTGGCACCATATGGTTTTACCTGCTGTGCCGCAGCGCTGGCCTCAAGTGTAGATTTTTTTTTTTTTTTTTTTTTTTTGACAGGCAGAGTGGACAGAGAGAGACAGAGAGAAAGGTCTTCCTTTGCAGCTGCTTCACCCTCCAATGGCCGCCGTGGCCAGCGCGCTGCAGCCGGCGCACCACGCTGATCTGAAGGCAGGAGCCAGGTGCTTCTCCCGGTCTCCCATGGGGTGCAGGGGCCCAAGGACTTGGGCCATCCTCCACTGCACTCCCAGGCCACAGCAGAGAGCTGGCCTGGAAAAGGGGCAACCGGGACAGAATCCGGTGCCCCGACCGGGACTAGAACCTGGTGTTTCGGCGCCGCAAGGCGGAGGATTAGCCTAGTGAGCCGCGGCGTCGGCCTTCAATTGTATAATTTAAACGACTTCAGTCTGTCACTGTTCAGAGTGACATACTATTTGTGAATTAGGAAGCTGGTATGGTTTTCCAGGTCCAGAAAGCTTATTAACACCCTTAAATTTTTAATTACATGACCATCAAAATTTAGAACGTTAAGGAAACTTAAAGTACTATTTGTTCATACAGTTACTGGCATTTTTATTGAGTAGGTTAAAAGTGGTAACTTGGGATTTTGTAAGTAGCAAGTAATGGGGATTTTCTAAGTTCCAGTGAGAACAGATTATTTTATATGATTCAGTCTACCCTTAGGTAGTTGTGAAGCATTGTAATACCATTGCCTTATGAAGTTGATCTCATGGTCACAGACATATATATCTTTATTATAAAAATAGGGTAGAAACTAAAGACATGATTTTTTTTTGTCCACTCTGTTATTAGGTAATTTGAACTTTCTATTGGTTTGTTCAATTTGGTCTTGAAATTCTTTGTAATGTTGTGGATTTTTAAAATTTTAATCCAGCTAATGATGTAACTGGCTTAAGGGAGTCTGAAGAAAAACTAAAGCAACAACAGCAGGAGTCTGCACGGAGAGAAAACATCCTTGTAATGCGACTGGCGACCAAGGAGCAAGAGATGCAAGAGTGTACTGTAAGTATAAGTTACTCTGCACTTTCCATGCTCTGCGAGTCTGGATATTTTTCTCTTCTTTTCTTTTCTTCTCTTTGATTTGATTTGATTTATTTGAAAGTCTGAGTTAACACAGAGAGAAGCAGAGGCAGAGAGAGAGAGAGGTCTTCCATCCGATAGTTCACTCCCCAATTGGCCACAGTGGCCGGAGCTGTGCCAATCCAAAGCCAGGAGCCAGGAGCTTCTTCCTGGTCTCCCACACAGGTACACGGGCCCAAGTGCTTGGGCCATTTTCTGTTGCTTTCCTAGGCCATAGCAGAGAGCTGGATTAGAAGTGGAACAGCCAGGTCTCACACCGGCACCCATATGGGATACCGGTGCTTCAGGCCAGGGCATTAATCCACTGTGCCACAGCGCTGGCCCCTGGATATTTTTCAAATATAACTGATGGTATGACCAATAGAAGAATGTTTGCTCCTTGTCTCTTCCTCTCTCTAGGCTAGCGGTCTGATTATTTTATCTTCTGCTGTCTTGTCCCTTCTGTGTAGAACGATATTCTGATGTCAGCAACTTCTGTGTTTTTTGTTCTTTCAAGATTTTTTTATTTATTTGAAAGGCAGAGATGGGGTGGGGATGGGGTCTTCCATCTGCTGGTTCACTTCCCAAATGCCCTCGATGGCCAGAGCTGGGCCAGGCTGAAGTCAGAAGCCTGGAGCTTCTTCTAGGTCTCCCATGTGGTTTCAGAGGCCCAAGGAGTTGGGCCATCTTCCACTGCTTTCCCAGGCCATAGCAGAGAGCTGGATCAGAAGAGGAGCAGCCGGGACTCAAACCGGTGCCCATATAGGATGCTGGCACTGCAGGTGGCGACTTTCCTGTATTTTTAATTGTTCAAGCTTTCATTTAGATTAAATCTTTGATATTCTTAGCTATTCTTTTATTATTGTGTGTATGTAGAAATTTACCAAAAATTAGCTCTCTCCTTTCTCTTAATTGTTTAAAATAGAGATTTGTTCTTTTATTTGAAAGGCAGGAGTTGCAGAGAGAGAGAGGAAGAAACAGAGAGAGAGATCTTCCATCTGTTGTTTCACTCCCCAGATGACTGCAACAGCCGATCCACATCCAGGAGCCAGGAGCTTCTTTGGTTGTCGCATGTGGGTGCAGGGGCCCAAGCAGCTGGGCTGTTCCACTGGTTTCTCAGGTGCATTAGCAGGCAGCTGGACAGGCAGTGGAGTGGCGGGAACTTGAACTGGTGCCGTAAGGGATGCCAGCATTATAGGTGTTGGCTTTACCCGCATAACATAAGACCTGTCCTCTTTTTTTTTTTTGTTTTTTTTTGATGTATTTGCTTGAAAGGCAGAGAAAGACAATTTTCCTCTGCTGGTTCATTCCCCAAATCTTGCTTCTAATTTTAAAATCTACATGTTTCTTCAACTCATTATATAGTGTTCTTTCATTTGATACATATTGATTGAGATCTTCCACAGTGTTACACATTTCTGGTCACTGTAGACACTATGTGTATGAACACAATCTAGTCCTGTTTCTTCTGTCACCAATATTTTATTAATTTGAAAGGCAGAGTTATAGAGAGAGGTCTTTCGTCTCATGGTTCACTCCCCAAATGGCCACCATGGCTGGGGCTGGGCCAGACTGAAGTCAGGAGCTAGGAGCTTCTTCTGGATCTCCCACATGAGTGTAGGGACCCAAGAACTTGTGCCATCTTCTGCTGCTTCCCCAGGTGCATTGGCAGGGAGCTCGATTAGAAGTGGAGTAGCTGGGACTTGCTGGTGCCCATATGGGACACCATAACTACAGGCAGTGGCTTTACTCCGTACGCCACAACACCAGCTCCATCACTGAGTGCTTTAATGAATCTACTTTTTATGCAGATAATTAGTCTTACCTTCCAGTGCTGATGCCTGAGAGATGTTTTGTGAGTGGACAGTAGCAGCAGCAGTAGCTTGTATTAGTGAAGTGTCTTGAATTCTTTCTGTCTTGACATTGTAGCTCAGATTCTTTTTTTTTCCCCTTCCCTTGAAAGGTGTAAACAATGACACAGATTATACTCCCATCTTCAGATTCCTTCCTCAAAGGCCAGGGTTGCATCAGGGCCAAAGCAAAAAGCCAGAACCTCAATTTGAGTCTCCCCCTGGGTGGCATGGATTTGAGCCATCTTCCACTGCTTTCCCAGACCATAGCAGAGAACTAGATGGGAAGTGGAGCAGCCAGGACTCGAAACTGGCACCCTATGGAATTCCAGCATCTCAGGTGGATGCTCAGCCCACTCTACCACGTACTGGCCCCTAAATCTGGATTTTAAGATTATTTCAAGTAGGACTAAATCTTTTCTAGCCTCCTCTCCCCCCAAACAGTTCTCCCCTACACAGTCCATCTGTTCTTGCAAGGTGAGGTTTGCAGGCAGGACAACAGGAGCAAAAGCAAGGAAAAGAAAAGGTTACATGCAGCCAGGGGGTGGAAATAAGAACAAAGAATTAGAGTGAGGGCCTAGGATTTTGGAACAACTGAAGAATTTTTAAGGAGGAGGTGTATGTGGTTGATCGGATTTGCATTTTAGGCAGATCACTCTGGTTTGAATGTGGAAGATGGACTTAAAAGGAATAGGATTAAAATAACCAGTTGGGAGGCTCTTAAACATGTCCAAATGAGTTAATGATGCCAGTGCTGACAGGGAAGCAGGGAACGTAGGGTAAATACTTTGGAGACAGAATCAGTAGGACTTGATTCCCTGGTGGGGAAAGAAATGAGGAAGTCCAAGACGGAGTCACAGGTAGCTTTCAAGTTTACCTTTCGGTGTGACTTGGATACATTATGATGCTGGGATAGAACCTACAAACGAGGTAGATTTAACAAGAAAAAGTGTATAGGAAACAGGAAATTCAGTTTTTCCCTCCCCTCCAAAAAATAAAGAAAAAAATGATGAATAGTGTCAAAGACGAAAGAAGCAAGTTTACTGGTTCCAGGGAATGGAAGTTTTGGGAGTTAGAAGCACAGCCCCGCATCTCAGGAGGGTGGGATGGACTAAAACCTGGAGGACTGATTGCAGACTTGGAGAAGAGGTTGCCCCTGCCCTGTCACTTGCACACCTTCGTCGTTCCTGAGGTTGAGAGAAATTTCCTTCCAGTCTGTTTGAATCAAGGATTCTGGATTGAGGACACCAAGAAGACTTGAGATTGGTTTCTGTGAATGGTAGCGCCTCCAGCCCCTTTCTGCCGTTAGCCGCTGGAAGGTTGGCCAGTGGGTTTAGGTCATGCTTCATTATCATGATTGTCCTTTCCCTTGCACGAGCTCAGAGTCTTTCTGCAGAAACTGACAGTCCTAAACTAAACTAAAATTGGGTCGTCCTGTGAACCACAGTGAGGGAAATTAACAATGAAATAATGTGGCTCTGTAGGAAAATATGCTTATATTCCATGGAATAAAGAGTTGAGCAGGTTAAACAAAAAGTCTTCTAACAGGTAGTGTTTTAACAACATACAAAGAAATACTTGTATGCCAAAAGGCGTAAAATTTGGGAGGCTGACACAGTAGCACAGTGGTTCAGCTGCTGCCTATGTTGCCAGTATCCCATACGGGAGTGGCATTTTGAGTCCTGACCACTCCGCTTCAGTCCTTCCTGTTAAGTGCCTGAGAACAGCAGTCGGCTCACATATTTGGGCCCCTGCCATTCACATGGGAGACCAGGAGGGAATTTCTGGCTCCTGGCGTGGCCCAGAACTGACTACTGTGGCCATTTGGGGACCAGTGGATGGAAGATCTCCATTCCCCCACACCCTCTCTGCCCTTTTTTTTTTTTTTTTTTTAACAGGCAGAGTGGACAGTGAGAGAAAGAGAAAGGTCTTCCTTTGCCGTTGGTTCACCCTCCAATGGCCGCCGCGGCTGGCGCACCACGCTAATCCGAAGGCAGGAGCCAGGTGCTTCTCCTGGTCTCCCATGCGGGTGCAGGGCCCAAGCACTTGGGCCATCCTCCACTGCACTCCCTGGCCACAGCAGAGAGCTGGCCTGGAAGAGGGGCAACCAGGACAGAATCCGGTGCCCCGACTGGGACTAGAACCCGGTGTGCCGGCGCCACAAGGTGGAGGATTAGCCTAGTGATCGCGGCGTTGGCCATATCATTCTGCCTTTAAGATGAATACATTTCAATCATCCGCCTGCGGTGCCAGCACACTGGGTTCTAGTCCCAGTCGGCACCGGATTCTGTCCCGGTTGCCCCTCTTCCAGGCCAGCTCTGCTGTGGCCTGGGAGTGCAGTGGAGGATGGCCCAAGTGCTTGGGACCTGCACCCCATGGAAGACCAGGAGAAGCACCTGGCTCCTGGCTTTGGATCAGCGCAATGCACCGGCCGTGGCGGCCATTGGAGGGTGAACCAACGGCAAAAGGAAGACCTTTCTCTCTGTCTCACTGTCCACTTTGCCTGTCCAACAAAAAAAAAAAGATGAATACATTTTTAAAAAAGATTTTGGGTGGGCATTGGGGTACACTGGAGTAAACTGCCACTTGGTCACTGTGTCTGCTGTCAGAGTTCCTGGTTTCATCCCACTTTGGATCCAGCTTCCTGCTAATGCAGTCCTGGTAGGTAGCAGGTGATGGCTCATTCCATGTGTCCCTGTCATCCATGTGGGAGACCCCTATGGAGTTCTCTGTTCTTGGCTTTGGCTTGCCTCACCCCCAGGGGTGGGCATTTGGGGGATGAACCTGCAGATGGAAGATGGATCAGTTTCTGTCTTTTGAACAAGATACAAAAAGTTTAAAAGCCAAACAATGGGGTGGTGCTATGGTATAGCGGGTAAAGCTGCCACCTGCAGTGCTGGCATCCCATATTGGCATTGGTTCGTGTCCCGGCTGCTCCTCTTCCGAACCAGCTCTGCTATGGCCTGGGAAATCAGTAGAAGGTGGCCTAAGTTCATGGGTCCCTGCACCCTTGTGGGAGACCCGGAAGAAGCTCTTGGCTCCTGGCTTCGGAATGACACAGCTCCAGCCATTGCAGCCAACTGGGGAGTGAACCAGCAGGTGGAAGACCTCTCTCTCTCTGCTTCTCCTTCTCTCTCTGTAACTCTGACTTTCAAGTAAATAAATACATCTTTTTTAAAAAAAGTATTAAAGGCAAAAGTAAGGCTCAATAAACTAATCTTAAATGTTGGATTTGGCACGAGACTATGATCACTTTAGGGAAGCCCGTTTCAAGCTTCAGGGTTGAGGCTGAAGCAGTATTTTCAGTGGTTTAATAGGACATAGATCAAATAGAGATGTGGCTAATTTTTTTAAAATTTTGTTTATTTGAAAAAGAGAAATCTTCCATCTTCAGATTCACTCCCCAAATGACCATAACTTCCATTGCTGAGTCAAACCTAAAATCAGGAGATTGGAACTCCATCCAGGTCATTTTCTGCTGAGTCCCCAGGCACATATGTTAGGGAGCTGGATCAGAAGTGGAGTAGCTGGGACTTGAAATGACAGTCCAATGTGGGATACTGTGTCGCAGGTACAGCTTGGCCCACTATGCCACAACACCAGCCCCAATACTGTTTTTTTAATGAGGTTGACACTAGTTCTTTATTACTTATTAGGCAAGGTTTGAAGTTGTCTTTTGTGGGGGGCACTGTTATGATGTAGTAGTTTAATACCTCAGTCTGAAGTGTCAGTATCCCCTATGGGTTCTTGTTCAAGACTGGGCTTCACTTCTGATTCAGTGCCTGCTAACGTGCCTGGGAAAGCAGCAAATGATGGCCCAAGTACTTGGGGCCTTACACCCATGTGGGAGACCCAGAAGAAGTTCCGGGCTTGGGCCTGGCCCAGCCCTGGCCATTGCATCCATTTGCGGAGTGAACCAGCTAGTGGAAGATCTCTATTTCTCTGTCTCTTCCTTTCTCTGTAATTCTGCCTCTTAAATAAATAAGTGAATCTTTAAAGGAAAAAAAAGATGAGTCACTTTGGAATATGTATGCACTGTAGGAAAATCTTAAGCCTCATGTGAGGCTTAAAAATGAGGAATTTAAAGGGAAAAAGGGTGGAAGTAAGGTAGACGAAGCAGGAGGAGCAAGTTAAACGGTTGGGCTGAAAAGAAGAGCTTCGGGGCAGGCCTGTGGCCCAGCGGTTGCGGCTGCTGGGGACATTGCATCGCATCGCAGAGTGCTTGGTCTGCTTCCTGGTCCTCTGCTGCCAGTCCAACTTTCTGCTGATGTACACCCTAGAAGGCAGGAAGTGTAAGTACTTGAGTCTGTGTCACCCACGTGGGAGATTGGAATTCAGTTGCTGAGCATTGGCTTTGGCCTAGGCCAGCTCTGGCTGTTGCCAGCATTTAGAGAGTGAAACAGCAGATGGAATGTATTTCTCTGCCTTGCAGATAAAATGAAAATAAGTAAAATTTCAGAAAAGAGCTTTTCCTTTTTGCCTTCAGTGATTGAAATTAACAAAACAATAGAAAAGGTAAAATGAATCCTCAGGAGTTAACTGTTTCCTGATAGATCTGTTTGCCTGATGTACTAACTCATCTATTGGATTTTTAAAAAACATGAATTGATTTATTTGAAAGAGTTACAGAAAAGGGGTGGGAGGAGAGGGAAAGATGCCTTCCTTATGCTGGTTATTTCCCACATAGCTGCAATGGCTTTGGCTGGGCCAGGTTGAAGCCAGGAGCCGGTAACTCCCTCTGGTGGTAGGAGCCAGCCCCAGGTACTTGAGCTGCTTTTCCAGGTGGATTAGCAGGGACCTGGGTCAGATGCACTCAATTAGAGTGCAGCAGGCAGCTAACCCACACAGTGCCAGAACACTGTCCCCTCTTGGACCTTTTAAGTTATGGAATTCTTCCTTTGTCTACATGAAGTCTTTGTACACTTACTTAGTTAATATTGGACATAAGTTACTCAGAGTAGTGGTTATTATTGGATTTTATAAGACTTGTTTAACTAGTTTGCTTGTAAATACAGTACATTGTTTTGCTTTCCTTTGGTATTCTTGTTTTTCATTTAGTCTTTTGCTGGTTAACTCAGAATAGCATTAGGAATAAAACTGACTTTTCAAATATATTCTCAAGGTTTTTTTTCTCTAGGACGTGAAATTTAGTCTCATCAGATTACCTGTCTTTCATGACTAAAAATATTGACTATTGGGACTTTGTAAACTTAATAGTAAATGAGTTCAAGTCAGTGTTTTAGGGACTGTGTTTTAATTATTGACATCAGTACATTGCAGTATACTGTAAGACATGCTTTAGTCTCCTTAGAGACTCCTTAGCTGACCTTACATTGAATGAGCAATTAAAGCTTTTTGTTTGGAATGAGTATATTTTTAGGGAGGGTCTGTACAAGTTAGGTATTACACAGAGAGAGAAGATGGAGAGAGAGAAGGGGGGTGGTCTTCCATCAGCGGGTTCACTCACCAATTTGCCACAATGGCTGGAGCTGCATTGATCCGAAGCCAGGAGCCAAGAGCTTCTTCCAAGTCTCCCACGCGGGTGTAGGGATCCAAGGCCTTGGGGCCACCTTCTGCTGCTTTCTCACCCATAGCAGAGAGCTGGATTGGAAGTGGAGCAACCAGGCCTCAAACCGGCGCCCATATGGGACGCCAGCAGATGCTTTACCCGCTAAGCCACAGTGCTGGCCCCTACACAATATTTTAAATTTTGCTTTTTTTTTTTTTTTTTTTTAATCTGAAAGAGAGAAACAGATTTCCCATCTGGTGGTCCAAAATGATGCTGGACCTGCCTTAATCCAGCAGCTAGGATGGGACCTCAGTCCAGATCTCCCATGTGGGTGATGAGGACCTGACCACTTGAACCATCACTTCCTGTCTTCGGGGTGCACATTAGAAGGAAGTTGTAATGAGGGGCAGAGCCAGAGTCAAACCCAGGCCACTCTGCTTAGATGCAGGTGAACTGTGTATCATTTAACTGCTACACCAACTATCTGCCCCAACGTTTGTTTTTGCTTTTCTTTTAAGGTTTATTTATTTGAAAGGCTGAATTAGAGAAATCTCCTGTCTGCTGGTTCACTCTCCAAATGGCTGTAATGGTTGGTGCTGGGCCATGCTGAAGCCAGGAGCCTGGAACTCCATCCAGGTCTCTTGTGTAGCTACGTAGTAGGGGCCGGCTCAAGCACTTGGACCATCTTCCACTGCTTTGTCAGGCTCATTAGAAGGAAGCTGGATCAGAACTAGAGCAACCAGCGTTCCAGCTGTTGCTTAAATGGGATGCTAATGTTAGAAGTGGTGACTTTAACCTGCTGTGCCACACAACACCGGTCCCTGACATTGTGTTATTTTGTTTTTTTGTTTGTTTGTTTGTTTTTGTTTGTTTGTTTTTGACAGGCAGAGTGGATAGTGAGAGAGACAGAGAGAGAGAAAGGTCTTCCTTTTGCCGTTGGTTCACCCTCCAATGGCCGCTGTGGCCCGCGCATCGCACTGATCCGAAGCCAGGAGCCAGGTGCTTCTCCTGGTCTCCCATGGGGTGCAGGGCCCAAGGACCTGGGCCATCCTCCACTGCACTTCCAGGCCATAGCAGAGAGTTGGCCTGGAAGAGGGGCGACCGGGACAGAATCCGGCGCCCCAACCGGGACTAGAACCCGGTGTGCCGGCGCCTCAGGCAGAGGATTAGCCTATTGAGCCACGGCGCCGGCCGACATTGGGTTTTGATATTGATTGGATTGCTGCAAAGTAAGACATAACCTTTTTTTTTTTTTTTTTAATTTAAAGATTTATTTATTTGAAAGAGTTACACAAAGGAGAGGCAGTGAGAAAGAGAGAGGTCTTCCATCCGATGGTTTACTCCCCACTTGGCTGCAACGGCCAGAGCTGCACAATCCAAAGCCAGGAGCTTCTTCCTGGTCTCCCATGTGGGTGCAGGGGCCCAAGGACTTGGGCCATCTTCTGCTGCTTTCCCAGGCCACAGCAGAGAGCTGGACTAGAAGTGGAGCAGCCCAGACTAGAACTTGCACCTCTGTGAGATGCTGGTGGATTACCCTACCATGCCCCAGTCCCAGCCCCAATCCAGTGATCTTTATTCTTACATCAATAACCTGAAATAATTGTTTTAATTGTGCGATGTTTTAAGAGGAATAGCTTAACAATTCAGTTAGTATCTGTCCTTTGATTTGATAGTAATTGTCTCTTTTGCTTTGCGCAGACTCAAATCCAGTACCTCAAGCAAGTCCAGCAGCCGAGTGTTGCCCAACTGAGATCAACAATGGTAGACCCAGCGATCAACTTGTTTTTCCTAAAAATGAAAGGTGAACTGGAACAGACTAAAGACAAACTGGAACAAGCCCAAAATGAACTGAGTGCCTGGAAGTTTACGCCTGATAGGTAAACAAATCATACTCCCCAGTCAAGACTTCCCTGACAGTCCCACTACGAGAAACTGTGGTGGGACAGCCAAGTACTCGTTTCCTCACCAAGACTCAGACTTTTTGAGCCAAAAAAAAAAAAAAAAAAACCAAACCACATTCTTACACTGTCCAGCCTGTAATGGTTAATGTAAAACTTACAGATGAGCCTTGTGTTTCAGCTTTTCTCTCTTCCCCTTCCCCTTGCTTCAGAGGCCTGATGCCGTCGGACTATTCCGAAGAAGTGGCCACCTCCGAAACTTCCCCTTCTAAAACATGTAGACACTTGAGAAATGTTTCTGTTTGAAGAAAATAGAGGGAGAAACAGAAGTCTTAAGTCTGAGGCACACTGTGTCTGCAGACAGTTTGGAGGAATGAAAACCTAGAGCCTTTAAATCATGAATTGAACATGTAAAATTCCAGTAAAATGTAAAAATGGAATATTCATCGCTCTTAACCTTGAGCATAGTGACTTAGAGACACTGTATATCAGTTTTGCCAATAAGACTGTGGACTTCACCATTGTTCTTGAACTTCTGGGTCAAAACTCAACTGAGGTGATTTTGCCTTTAAAAGGGTTTTTTTTTGTTTTCTTTTTTGTTTTTTTGTTTTTTTGTTTTTTTTTTTTTGGTTAAGAACCAACTTTGAGTAGTCATGAGAAAATCAAGCAATAGATGTCAGTACAAGTAGTGCATACCTTTAACCATTTAGCTTGGAGCTCTGTGTTTCTTGATGGAGCCTTAAATCAATGTGGTTTAATCAATGGTTTGTTCTTGGAATGGTTGCAAAAACTGTAGATAATCTTACTAAGGACTGTATAAACATGAAGGTCTGGTATCAAACTTCAGGTTTAAACTGTTCGAAGCATATAAACATTCATTTCATAACTAGATTGTATAAGGATATTGGCTGTGAAGAGACTCACTGCGTTACTTTTTCCAGTAGTGAACATTATGAAACCCCATTCCATTCAACAGGCACATGTGAAAAGAGCCTTGTCGTTGGTGTTAATGGGGGAAAGTGTTCCTTCATTGTACTTGGACTTTTTGTATTGAACTCTTGATATTAAATTAAATGTGCCTTGAAATAGTTGGTTTTTTTTTTTTTAAGTTCAAGGAATAATATGATTTTGTTGTACTCTGAAATATTTTAATTTTGGGGGGCTATGGAGAGCAGATTGATTTTGGAAAATTGTTGGTGTGCCCTTCAAAGTGAAAGGCTGTCTTATTTTTAAAAGATGACTTTATTCCAGCTGTATCCTAAAGACAAGGAGACACGACACTTGTTACTTGACATGTTGTCCCAGGATATTGCAGAGGGGTTACTGTGGGACAGCCTCACAGGGTGCCTGCCAGAAGACTGGGGAGATGATGTTTTGGAACTGTGGGCGGCCTAAGTGAGACTTTTTGTGAATTGGAAAAGATAGAGTGATCATTTCTAGCAAATTCATTCACTCATTTAGAGAAATGAGGCATTATTTTCTTCATGCTTCCATCCAATCCTGGAGGTGAATTTTTTTCGTCAGATCACTGTGTAAGTCACCAATTCGAATGTTTTGCTTGGTGATAATGGAGTCTGAGATGAGTGGAAGATAAATGTTCCAGCTTGTCCCAACGTTTAAGTGCAGTTTTAACATGAGTGACTTAAGTTCTCTCTTAATCATTCAAACCAATTGTAAGTATCTTGTATGTTTGTGCTTTAGGGAACTGATTGTGGGGTAGAGGGTGGGTTGAAGGCATGGTTTGTGTGACTCAGCAAGAAGTCCACCTCTAAAATTCTCATTGTCTGGGGGTTGCAGGGTAAGTAACCAAATGTGTTTGAATCAAAATTGGCTGACTGTGTCACAGGCTTTTATATATCTTGAAGATCTCAGTAGAAACGGTCTCTTTTCAGTAGGTCAAGAAGTAATTCATAAAAGATGTTATTACCATGTACAAAATCCAGCCAGCATCCTTGCTGTGTAAGGTTAACAGTCACTTTTAAAGTCTGTGGACTTTTTTTTCTTATTATTAAGCGTTTCTCTTTGCGATTGATAAAACAAGGAATGCTTCTGTATGAGGTTGAAACAGAGTGGAGAAAGATGGAGATGAAGAGTGTCCCCTGGCTGTGACCTTGACCCTTCCCTATTTACTCTCAGGAGCAGTAACTGTTAATCTCTTCATACTGGCACGATAATTTCTGTGCGATGCGGGCATTTGATGTGTATTTGTCTTACAGCAAATGTGATCATACCATTCATACGGATGATCTGCAGGGTTTTTTTCTTTTCACTTTATCTCAGGCATTTTTTTTTAAATATTTTAGTATGTCTAGATTATTATATTTAAATGGTTATATACTGTTTCCATTATAGTAATGAGTCATTTATCCTAATCACTTAAAATAGATTCTTGTCTTGTAAAATTACGCTATAAGTCAGAGTATGTCAGGTACCAAGAAATATATCATTCATTTGGGACAGTAGTCAGTGCTCGCTCTGGAAAATTCACGTAGAATGAGTCTGGTGTTTTCACTTCCCCGTTTTCTCACTTTTAATTGTGTAGGAGAAAGATCCTCAGAATTTTCTTGTTCACCTTAGTTCAAAAATTTCACTGATGTGAAACGCATGCATTTTACAGTGGTTAGACAGGTGTGTTTCAGTTTGCATTTAGTTAATTATGTACACATTTTCCCAGAACAGCCTGCTACCCTTCCTCTTGATAAGAAGAGCAACATACAACGTTCATTGCTTTTCTTAAGTTCTTCTCTTGCAGTATTTCCCACTGTGTTTGTTCTTTGAGTCATTCGATTTTGAGAACAGCTTGGATTTTTTGCTTTTAATTTTTAAAAATTACGTCAAAAACAGTGGCAGTTAAATCATTTTTTGGTGTCGTGTGGGGCACATATTTTACATGACATAGTTAAAGTAAAATTGCAGAATGTTTAAAGAACAGTTTAACAGGTTTTTTTTTTTTTTTTTTTTTTTTTTTTTTTTGACAGGCAGAGGGACAGGGAGATATAAAGAGACAGAGAGAAAGGTCTTCCTTTGCCGTTGGTTCACCCTCCAATGGCTGCCGTGGCCGGCGCACCACGCTGATCCAAAGGCAGGAGCCAGGTGCTTCTCCTGGTCTCCCATGGGGTGCAGGGCCCAAGCACCTGGGCCATCCTCCACTGCACTCCCTGACCACAGCAGAGAGCTGGCCTGGAAGAGGGGCAACCGGGACTAGAACCCAGTGTGCCGGCACCGCTAGGCGGAGGATTAGCCTATTGAGCCGCGGTGCCGGCCTAGTTTTTTTTTTTTTTTTTTTTAAGATTTTATTTATTTTATTTGAGAGTTAGAGTTACAGAGAGCGGTAGAGACAGAAAGGTCTTCCTTCCGTTGGTTCACTTCCCAAATGGCTGAAACGGCCAGTGCTGTGCTGATCCGAAGCCAAGAGCCAGGCGCTTCTTCCTGGTCTCCCACATGGGTGCAGGGGCCCAAGGACTTGGTTCATTTTCTACTGCTTTGCCAGCCCATAGCAGGGAGCTGGATTGGAAGTGGAGCAGCTGGGACTAGAACCAGTGTCCATATGGGATGTCAGCACCGCAGGCGGAGGATTAACCTACTGTGCCACGGCACCGGCCCCCAAGAACAGTGGTTTTAGTAAGATTATTTTAATCACTATTTAGCAAGTTATAAGATTTCTTAAAATGGCATTTGTTTATTAAAAGGTATTGATTTTTTGCATTTGTGTTTGGTATTTTTGTAGGGGATTAAATCAGGTCACTAGTTTATATGTTCTATAGTTGTCTATAGGGTTTGTATTTTCTGCTGTAGCTGGAAAAAACTAATGCTGTGTGCCTTGCAAGAAAACAAAGTTGTGGGAGCATAGGTAGTCCAGTGAACAAAGCCCACTGTTTTTGACAAAAGGTGTCTGTCTCTTCATTATTTGACTTCTTCTTGTTAGTTTTTTTTTTTTTTTTTTTTTTTTTTTTGTAAAGATTTACTTTATTTATTTGAAAGACAGAGAGGGAGAGGAAGAGAGAAACAGAGATGGAGGTGTCTGTTCACTCCCCAGATGGCAGATGGCCTCAGTAGCTGGGGCTGGGCCAAGCCAAAACCAGTAGCTTCTTCCAGGTCTCCCACCTGGGTGCAGGTACCTGGACCATCCTGCGCTGCTTTCACAGACTCATTAGCAGGGAGTTGGATCAGAAGTGGAGCAGCCAGGACTTAAATTGGCACCCATATAGGATGCCAGTGTCATAGGCGGCCTGCAGCAGCTTTATTTGCCATGCCACAATGCCAGCCCCCATTGTTTGGCTCCTAAGTGCTTACTCACTGTAGGCCAATCTGAAGATGCTGATGGGGAATCTGGAGCTACAGTAACAAAACAGCAGCTAATGGTTGCCGTAGAAAGGAATAAAACCCTATCATGCACTAACTTGGGGTTCACTTTTTCACAGATTTTTGTAAGGAGACTTAATTACAAGCTTCTTCCTTGAATTATGTTAGAACACACAAGTATAGGTAAAAGAACCTTGTAGTTTGCTTCAAAGAAAGAGAACTATAATTTTTAAAGTTCTAAGGCTTGATAGGATCAGATGGATTCTGCAGTCCTGAATCGGGCACCTGAATGCCATTACAATACAGACAGACTAAAATTTATAAAACATTTTGAGTATTAAGGTCATTCTGGACTTATCCTAATGATGGGAATGTAAAAGTATCCCTATCCCAGTCTCAGACATAATATCAAAATTACTACTTCAAAGTAGAACCCTTTTTATAAAGATTTATTTTATTTGAAAGGCAGAGTTACAGAGAGAGAATGAAATAGAAAGATCTTCCATCTGTTGGTTCGGGTTGGGCCAGGATGAAGCCAGGAACCAAGAACTGCAGTCTGGGTCTCCTGCGTAGGCCTAAGTTCTTGTTTACCTTCTGGTGCTTCCCCAGGCCTGTTAGCTGGGCGCTGGATGGGAAGTGCAATAGGCTGAAACCAATGCTCTTAGGGAATGCTGGCATTGCAGGTGGTGGCTTAACCCAAGGCACTGCTGCGCTGACCCCTAGATCCCAGTAAAAAATGTGATTTCTGCTATTACTGAGGCTGAAGACAAACGGTAGAGTTGTATTAAGAACCTGTCATTTGGGCTTTTCATTACATTCGTGCTGGAGCTACATGTGTGGTTTCTATAGTCTGTTGCACTAGCATTTGGAAACTAGTTTGTTGAAAGTATAGCCTTCCAAATTTGGTGGATATTTTCATGTTTGCCTTGTTTATGATAAGTAGCCCAGGCCTTAGTGTCACAAAGATGATGTTTTGCAGTATCAATAAAATGTTAACCACATACTGATATGGAATGGGGAAAAAAAAAACTATGTCCTGCTTGACTGCTCAAAAGCATATAGTACCTAAAGAAGTTAAATAATTGAGGGCTTGATGAGTGGGAAGAGTCTTAAAACTTGAGGCCTCACTTAATATAATAGATAAATTAAGAGGTATGGGAAATAAATGTACAAAGAATACTGTGTTTTTCTCAAAAAATACATTCTTATTCATTTCTAGGTACTGTCTTATATTACGTATTTTAAAGACGTACACACTTGTGATTAGTACCTCATGTACCTTTTCAATAACTTTTTTGTTTAAGAAATCACAACACTTTAGTGTTAATTAATATTGGTATATCCAAGGTGTGTGTTTGTTGCCTGACCTGTTGCTATTTCAGATGATAATGTGAGAAAAATGAATAGATTTCAGAATTGATTATTGAGTAATACAAACAACAAAAAGTCTGGGCATGTTTTATTCAGGATTTATTTTTGCTGCTGGTTGGCAAAGCGCTGCAATGCAGAAGGTGGATGTGTTCGAGCAGCGAAGACGGTAACTGCAGGGCGGCATCAGCTGTGACGTAGTTCTGTTCTGTACCTGGTACATCTATCACTGTTGCGATTGTAAGCGAAGAAGATCATAGTTTTGTCTTCATTTTGTGATGGATGGCTCTTTCCTTTGCAGCCAAACAGGCAAAAAGTTAATGGCGAAGTGTCGAATGCTTATCCAGGAGAATCAAGAGCTTGGAAGGCAGCTGTCCCAGGGGCGTATTGCACAGCTTGAAGCAGAGTTGGCTTTACAGAAGAAATATAGTGAGGAGCTTAAAAGCAGTCAGGATGGTAAGGGTATTTTTTGGAGTTTGCTTAACTTCACACTGGCTTTTTATTAAGCCGCCAGGCATGGCTGTTACGTAGGTTCTGTACATGTTAATCTCTCCCTTATATAAAATTGAGTGAAACATTTCTAGCTGAGTCAACAAATAGACCACATTTAATGATTTTAGCGATTTTCCCCCCACTCACATAATTGTTGTGTAAATTTCCTAAGAAGTTTTGTTTTGAGGGGAATAGGAATTGGTGAGACATAAAAAGCATGTTGTTACTAAAATATACAAATTTAAATTTATATTCAGCACTTGGAAAGGAGGAGTATCTTCAGCCATTTCTCTTTAGGTTTAAAACATCATGGGGACATTTGGCAATTTCCAAATTAAAAGATTTTATGTTCAAATTTGCTGCGGAGTCAAACCAAGCTTGCAGTCTCTCTGCCTTTTTATGCAGGTATACCAGCATCTGTGCTGTTTCTCCTCTGTGCAGATTAATATTAGAACAAAATCCAAACTCACTGGAAGTTTTAGTTGAGAATTAGTGCATATGGTGGCTAATGAGATCAGTAGCCAGGTAATACCTTTTCTCTGTTTTTGAAAGGCAGAGTTAGGAAGAAACGCAGATTTTCCATCCGCTGATTCACTCCCCAAATGGCCACAATGGCTGGGGTTGTGCCAGGCCTAAGCCAAGAGCCCAGAGCCTCCTCCAGATCTCCCACATGAGTGTGGGGGCCCAAGCACTTGGGCTATCCTCTGCTGCTTTCCTGGGAGCATTAGCAAGGAATTGGATCAGAAATGGAGCAGCTGGGTTTTGAACCTGACCCCATATGGGATGCCAGCATCTCAGGCAGGTGTTTACCCAGCTTTGCCAGCACACTGGCCCCTAAAACAGCATTTTGAAAGTGATAGTCCGGGGCTGGTGCTGTGGTGTGGTGGGTGGGGCTGCCATCTGCAGTGCTGGCATCTTGTGTGGGCACCTGTTTGAGTCCCAGCTGCTCTGCTTCTGATCCAGCTCACTGCTGTGGCCTGGGAGGGCGGTGGAGAATGGCCTGGGTCCTTGGGCCCCTGCTCCCGCGTAGGGGGCTCAAAGGAGGCTCCTGGCTCCTGGCTTCGGAGTGGGCCAGCAGATGAAAGATCTCCCTTTGCCTCTGCCTCTCTGTGACTTTAGCTTCCAATGAATAAATAGATCTTAAAAAGAAGAAAAGTGATAGCTCTTAGCCTTTGTTATCTGTGAACATGTAAATAGATTGTATAGCAGTGAAGGAGTTTTTTCCAAAGGCCTCTTAGAACTTAGGAACGTGTGCATTTTCATAGTCAACAGGAGTTATGTTCTGAGATTTTTGCTTTCCTCTGTAGCAGAGAACAGTGTTCAGTTAGGGCATAAACTTACTTGGAGTGTTAAGGTAGAAAACCACACTGTCCTAAGGGCCCTACCTGCGTGGAGTGAAGACCCTGTCTAGGAGAGTGAGGAGATAGGAACTGGCTCTGGGGGCCTGCAGGTAATCGTGGGCAGATTTTGGGGGTTGTCACAGTTCTTTATGGTGAGATGGTTTGAATCAACTTAACTTGCTTTGATATGTGTATGTAGAGAGAGACATATTAACAGTATATTCCTTTACGCAATCTACTCTGAATGAATTCTAATTCTTGAATGGCTATTTTTAAATTCTAGTACATTTTTAAAAAATAGTATTGTGATTTTAAAGTGTATCAGTGGTTAATAAGCACTCGGCAGTGGCCCTGTGGCAGCGCTTAGGAAATGCTGTTCAGTGAGTTCTGAGACTGAAGTGGGTCTGACTCTCTCTGCACAGAACTGAACGACTTCATCATCCAGCTGGACGAGGAGGTGGAGGGCATGCAGAGCACCATCCTCGTGCTGCAGCAGCAGCTGAAGGAGACGCGGCAGCAGCTGGCGCAGTACCAGCAGCAGCAGCCTCAGGCCTCCGCGCCGGGTACCAGCAGGACTGCGTCCTCGGAACCTGCAGAGCAAGGCGAGGCCGCGAGTAAAGACTGCAGTCGGCTGGCCAACGGACCAAGCAACGGCAGCTCCTCCCGGCCGAGGACGTCTGGGTCTGCATTTCACAGGGAGGGGGACGCGACTGAAGATGACTTTGCGTCTTCTCCAGGGAGTGCTAATAAGGCCTCCAGCAGCTCGGAGGAGAGACCCGGCAGAGGAGGTAGTAGTTACGCAAACCAACTCAGTGCGGGGTACGAAAGTGTAGACTCTCCCACGGGCAGTGAAAACTCTCTCACACACCACTCAAATGACACAGACTCCAATCATGACCCTCAAGAGGAGAAAGCAGTGAGTGGGAAAGGTAACCGAACTGTGGGTTCCCGCCACGTCCAGAATGGCTTGGACTCAAGTGTAAGTGTACAGGGTTCAGTTTTGTAATATTTTTCCAGCAAATTTTTATACAGTGTCATTTAATTTGGGAGAGGATACTGTCCAGAAAAGTAATGCATACTTTTGTCACAGTTTGCCTTTTTGTGGGTGTGTGTTGTTTTGTTTTTTTGCTTCAATACCTCTGCCACCTTGGAATTACAGCAGTTAATTACTTTGAATGTTGCTAAAAGGACATTTTTGTGTAGGGTCAAGTTATTTTTATATGAGTTAATGTGAAGTTGTAAATGGAAATCTTTCCTTAAAGTATACCGCGATGATGTCTGTGTAAATCTGTCTCTAGAACCCAAGCTGTAAGGCATCCTTCCTCCTGCTGTTGCACCATGCAGACGTGTTAGAGTAGATGTGGACCTAGGACTGCCGCGTTGCCCAGTACACTAGTTTTATCACTGAGAGTTGGACTTGCTGATGGAGTCCTGTAGTAGTTTCAGTGTTAGATGCAGTTTTTCCCACCACACATCTGTGCATTTTCTCTTTAGGTGACTGAATGTGTAAGAAACGTGTGTGCATAGTTACTCAGTTTTTATGAACTGTTGTATCCTGTTAATGCATATTGCTCTGTGACTCCAGTATATCTTACCTGTACTGACCAAACCTAAATAAAGATTTTTATTGTAACTCCTTTATTGGTTGTCTTGTTGTATTTTGGATGTGTTTGGTAGTCATTTATTTTCCTTGAATTGGCTGAATTTCTGCTCATTATTCTTGAATATATAACAAAGGTGAAACTTAAAGTGTATGCATTGATTTTGATTGTGGACATAATTTTTAATTTTTGCCTTGTACAGTGAAGTCACAGTGTAGGAAATATTTTTTCCCCTGAGTAACAAAGGTAACTGTCATAAAATGCTGGAAAATACATCAAAGACTACAATAAATATCTAAATATTTTAAGTTGTGATCTGATTTCAAGTAATTAGGTTTTCTATACAGTCTGATAATTTTTAAAAAATATTTATTTGAAAGTTACACAGAGAGAGAAGGAGAGGCAGAGAGAGAGAGAGAGAGGTCTTCCATCTGCTGGTTCACTCCCCAATTGGCCGCAATGGCTGGAGCTGGGCCGACCTGAAGCCAGGAGCCAGGTCTCCCATGCGGGTGCAGGGGCCCAAGGACTTGGGCCATCTTCTACTGCCTTCCCAGGCCACAGCAGAGAGCTGGATCGGAAGGGGAGCAGGCAGGACTAGAACCAACACCCATATTGGATGCCAGCACTGTAGGCAGTGGCCCTGATAATTTGTTTTAAAACATTGGCCAGCACGTGTTTGCTAATAGCATACCAGTACCAGGTATTAGAATGTAGGGAAGATGGTTTTAAGGTGTGAGACTGTCAGTGTTCCATTTTTTGCCTCTTGTAATCAATGATCTTGCTCTATGTGATAATGCATGTCTTTAGAATCTGCCTTTCCATATATGGTTAGGATGAAACTTGTTACTTCTGCCAAGAGCAGACTACTCAGCTGGGCTAGGCAGAACCTGTGCAGTCAAGCAACTTCAGAGGCGGAGCTACGGTCACAGCTGCTGACCTCTGACGCAGGTATGTCTGATCTCAGTGGTGGATTGAAAGTGCTGCAGTGTTATCGAACTATGCAGTTTGCTCAAGGGACTGAATGTTTACCTTTTTAAAATAAATATATATAATTAAACATTGAATCGATTCATCAAACTCTCTGAACTCTGGCTTTTGTTCATGGATGTTCTTTTTAATCTTTTAACTTGTTTGTTTGAACTCTGTCCTGTGGGTGTTAGGTAATTCTTGATACGTAATGGAAAATTTTCAGCCAATAGTACAGTTGCAAGGATTTGATTCTTAGTCTTCAGTTATCTTTATTGATATATTTATTTTAATAGAGTTAGATCTCCCTTCCTCTGATTCACTCTCCAAATGATTGCAATGGCCAGGCTGAAGCTAGGAACTTCTTCCAGGTCTCCAAGCTGGGTGACAGGGGCCCAAGCACTTGGGCTGACTCCTCCTTTCCCAGGCCATTAAGCAGGCGCCTGGAACTCCACCAGCACCCACACAGGATGCTGGCAATGCAGACGGCGACTTTACCCGCTATGCCACAGCACCAGTTCCATCAGTAATACAGTTGTATAACCTGACATTAGTACAGGTTTGTCAGTGTGATTATGAGTTTTCACATTTCTGTTGATAACTTAGGCATTTAATTAATATTTCTCACTTCCGGAGTTGGCTGCTTCATTGCGGGTGTGATTCAAATCCATCCTCAAGTTAGAGGCTGGTTTCCAGGGCTCATAGGTTTGAATCCTGGCACTGCTGTCCCTCATACATGCCTTCGGCCACCGCTTCGCCTCACTGTGTTTTCTGCTCTAAAGCAGGTGATACATGTAGAGTGCTTGCAGCAGGACTTAGCTGGGCTGCTGTAAACAAAACCCGTTCTTTCTCCGCAGTTGAGGCTGGAGGGTCAGGTCAGAGCCTGTTGATGTGGCTCCTACCGAGGGCCCTCCTGGCCTGCAGAGGACTGGACTGTTTGTTAGCCGTCTCCTCCCCCAGCTGCTGCTGAGGGCGCTCATCTATGTCTGAGGGCTCATGATCTAGTGACCTCCAAAGGCTCCCCTTCCCGAGGCCAGCGCCTTGGGAACGAGGCGTCAGCATTGAGGCCCGGAGCGGCAGGTGGCTGGGAGAGTGGATCGCCACCAGGAAGCAGGGGTGAGGTTTTGTGGAGGAAGGTGGTCCTTGGCTCCCTGAAATGCACGAAGCACCAACCTTCCTAGGGGACTCTGCTCGTCAGAAAAGGGCTGGTTTATCTTTTCATTTTTTCTTTTTTTTTTAACAGGCAGAGTGGACAGAGAGAAAGGTCTTCCTTTTGCCGTTGGTTCACCCTCCAATGGCCGCCATGGCTGGCGCGCTGCGGCCGGCACACCGCGCTGATCCAATGGCAGGAGCCAGGTGCTTCTCCTGGTCTCCCATGTAGGTGCAGGGCCCAAGCACTTGGGCCATCCTCCACTGTACTCCCTGGCCACAGCAGAGAGCTGGCCTGGAAGAGGGGCAACCGGGACAGAATCCGGCGCCCCGACCGGGACTAGAACCCGGTGTGCCGGCGCTGCAAGGTGAGGATTAGCCTAGTGAGCCGTGGCACCGGCCAAGGGCTGGTTTATCTTAACGACTCAGTCTAACCAGCAGTGAGGACCAAAATGCCTTCGGCAAGTCAAACAATGCCTATGTCTTGGGTTGATTCTTGGTTCCCTTCTGGCCCGTACACAGCTTTGAACAGACACTGAGGAGCTAGGATGAGGGTGGCCAGGCCGCACGAGCTGTCACCTTCCGAAGGTGTACTCCAGAGCTGGTTCTGACAAATCCTTGAGGTCAAAGACAAGTGAGTGTTCACACTCATTCAAACATGCATTTGGAATGGATGCGCACTCTCCCATGTCCAGGGCCTTCAGTGTGCTAGGAGCTGGTGCGAAGCAGTAAGTCAGGGTCATCTTGTGAAATTTACAGTCTGTAGAGACAGATGGCGGAACTCCAGCATGGGCGGGAGGGCACAGTGGGTCTGAGACGCCGAGGCGCCAGGCTTCCTGGGGGAAGTGATGTCGGTGAACTCCAAGAGGCAGACAGATTTCTGGCTTGGCTAACAAGATAGAGGCTCACAGATTTCACAGATGCGTGCTGTGTCTATTTTTTATTTTTACTTAAAAGTCGGAGAGCGGCCTGCTGATTCACTCCCCAAATGCCCACAGCAGCTGAGCTGGCAGAAGCCAGGAGCCTGGAACTCATTCCACGGGGACCCAACGTCTGTTGTAATGTGTACATTTATTTGAAAGGCAGAGGTAGAGATTGTCCATCTGCTGGTTCACTCCCCAAATGGCTGCAATGGCTGGAGCTGAGCCATCCAAAGCCAGGAGCCAGGAGCTGCTTCTGGGTCTTCCCCGTGGGTGCAGGGGCCCGAAGAGTTGGACCGCCTTCCACTACTTTCCCAAGCGCATTAACAGGGAGCTGGATCCGAAGTGGAGCAGCTGGGACTAGAACCCGTGTCCACATGTGATGCTGGTGCCGTGGGCAGTGGTTTTAGCCGCTAAGCCCAGCGCAGGCCCAGGGACCCAAGTTCTGCTGCCTCCCAGGGTACACCTTAGTAGTCTACTGGAAACGGGACTCGGACCTAGGGACGTCAAGATGGGTCGCAGGCTTCCCAAGAGGTGCCTCGCCCACTGACCTCATGGAGGTTTTCACTAGAGGAGACGCAAAGGCTGAAGAGCTGGTTCCGGCTTGATTCGACGTTAAATCGGACGTGCTTGCAGGACATTTAGACAGGGCCAGTGTGCTCCTGAGACAACTGGGCTAGACATCAGAATGGTAAAGGGGGCTATCAGCAGGAGCCTCGGGCGGCGCATGAGGGGCTGGAGACCACAAGGAGAGGAATGGGCCAGGGAGGGCCGCAGCCTACCGGCCGGGGCTGCCAAGCACGGAGCGGGCAGGGGCACCCCGGGCGCCTCCCGGAGGGGCCTGCACTCCCCGCATCCTCACCCTAACGCGGGCTCGCAGGAGGCCCTCCCGAAGCTCCCGGACCCCGGGCGGCTGCCTGCCCGCACTGTGCCCCCCGTGGCCCGGGTGGCGCGCCTGCCTGGGAGCCCCAGCCTGCGGAGGGGCACGCGCGGGGTTCCCAAGCCAGGGCGCACCCCGACCCGGTCCCCGCAGCCGAGGCCGGACGGTCCTGGACAACCCGGGGAGGTCTGGAACCTTGGCCGGCAGGGACCCGGCTGGGACAGGCTCCGCGCCCGGGAGGAGACCCGCGCACCCCACGGGGACACGCACGAGCGCACCCCGGCAGCGGGCGGGACTCGCCAGCGGCTCCTCAAGGCCCGGGCGGAGCGCGACAGGGATCCCGTCCCCCCTGGTCGTCACTGGTCAGAGCAAACGGAAAGCCCAACCCTGGGGTGAGCCGTGCGCGGACCCCGGGACCCCCGCCTCGCGCCCGCCTGTCCCGGCCGCGCCTGCGCGCTGAGGGCCGCGGAGGGGCGGGGCGAGGGCGGGGCGCGCCCTGGCTCCGCCCCCTGGCGCGGCCGGGGCGGTCCGAGGAAGGGCTGCTCCTCACTCGCCGGCAGCTCCGGGCCCACAGCTGCAGGCGCGGTGGTCCCGACAGGATGAGTGCAGGCTCGGACCCCGTGGTCATCGTCTCGGCGGCGCGGACCATCATAGGTGAGTGCCCGGCCGCCGCGGCGCTCGCGAGGGCCGCCGCGGGCGGGACCAGGGTGGTGCGGAGGCCCGGCGTGCGGACCGGCCGGCCGGGACCCCCGGAGCCCGCAGCCTGGTGCCCGCGGGGCTCGGCTCGGCGCCCCCTCCCCGCTCTCGCCAGGCGGGTCCGCTCCGCCCCTCGTGCTCCGATTGGCTGTCCGTGGTAGAACCACGGTGCCTCCCGGCTCTTCTATTGGCTGGCGCGGAAAGGCGTCTTCTCGCGAGACCCCTGATTGGCCAGCTCCGGGAGGCGCCATCGGTCATCAGGGGCTGGGCCGCTCGGTGGTGCGACCCGAGCGCTGGGCGGGGGTCGTGCGGCTGATGGACGGTGACGGCTGCTTGTGGCCTCCGCCCCCGTGGTCGCGCCGAGTTCCCGCGGGCCGCCGGCTGCCGGGGTCCGGAAGGTCGGGGCCGCCGCAGTACGCTGGGCGGTCT